CTGAGCAAGACGGCACTCACGTCGCTTGCGAAGAAGATAGCCGCGGGTTCGAAGGTTATACCAGATACGGTGAGGGCTGAGGAGTAAAGGGGCGGGTGATGTATAAGTCTGATTGTTGGGGGATTTATTTATAATACTGTTGGGTGGATGGGGAATAATAAAACCTGGGAGGAATGAGTGAAGCTACTTGTCACATTGATGTATTCGCGAAATTTACCCCTTAATAAGAAGGAAAAGTACAAGGACTTAGGTAGATAATAGCAATAGAAATCAAACATGTACTATCGAAGGGAACATGTAGTTAACTCTTCTATATCTTATTACTTAAACACATACAAATACTAAAAAGATTCAAGAGGCGAAGAATCAATAAAATAAAATAATAATAAAATAAAAAAGCTCGTCCTTGGGAGGGAACCTATGCAATTGACCAGAGCAAATTGGTCTTTTTGCCGCCATGACACAGGTTCGAACCCAAGAACTACGAAAAACCCCGAGAGGTTTTTCTACGCCGTCGTCTCTTACGAACACTGACCATGACCATTTGACCAGTGCATCTCAGATCAGGAGTGATGAGAGAGGCTCTTAATACGTATGATAAATCTACCTTGTGCGGTACTTACCATAACTGCTGCCTAGCAACCCTCGAGTACACTAGATACCTGTAAAAGAAGGGACATAAACGTACTATTGTTACTATATCCGCCTAATAGAGCCCCTTTCAGGGACAATATAGCAAGGTACGTATAATGCCCAGTCTACCAGAAGGGGAGAAGGGCGAAGACAACTCCAAAGCCAAGATCAAGCATACCTGTTACTAGAACTAGAAACATAGTATTTAAGCAAATTACGAATGCATTCAACCTAGAAGTGTTGCCAATCCGTAAGCCAAGGCTTATTCCCCTGCGCGAAATCAACGCCATGCTTATAATTCCCACTCAACTCCTCTTCGTCAACGCCACAATGCGCATACCCGTCGCGCCCAGAGAACCACCCCAACCCGTACGTCTTGCCCAAGCCCTCGAGCCCCGCGCGCATCTGCGCGTTGGTAAACTTGGCCGTCCCGACGAAGTCGTACAGCATCTTGCTCTGGTGCACGAACGCGAGCACGCCGGCGATCGTGCTCGGCTGCCGCGGCAGGAACGGGTGCCGCCGGCGGATGAATATCGCCGTGGCGACGACGAATAGGTATATCAGGATGACAACGGTTAGCGCTAGGGACACCGTGAACGAGAGCACCGTTTCCGAGCCGGAGCCGACGCCCTTTTGCAGGAACCCGTCGCCCGGCTCGTCGTCGTGGTCCTCTGCCCTGCTTAGTATCTCCAAGAAGTCCCGGCCTTCGACCGTAGCTAGGCTAGTGACGAAGATCGTGAGCGCTTCTACCATGATGGTGCCCCATCCGACCAAGAACACCATCCAGTGCCGGTTGAAGAGCGCGCGCGCGGCGACTACTGCGAATGGCATGGCTGTGTAGTCGAGGGTTAGCGTCTTGGCTGGTGCGTGCCGCTTCGAGAGGATATAGTACGGCTCCATCATGCGGATCGCCGTCTCTAGGCTGCCCCAGCTCAGTTTGATGATAACCGCGAGAAGGGTGACGACCCAGGGCGCTTTATTTGTTAATACGCTAGCTGGCGTAAACAAAAACACCGGTATGAAACCCAGGAACATCAATATACCGATTATGAAGGGTATGCAACCCTCGGCACGCAGCATGAGCGGGTGCGGATTCTCGGGTAGATGCGCATCCCCGTATCTATCGTTCTCCAGCGCGGACACCTGTTCGAAATCCTCGGGGACTAGCGACGAGTTGCGCAAGGCGTACCGCCTGTTCTTGAGCTTGTGGTGGATGTCCTTCGGCTTGGCGACGTCCATGTCCTTGAAGTCCATCATGATATGGCTGACGACGGCCATCGACGCCAGTCCCGCAATCCCCTTGACATCTGAGAGCAGGCCCGAGCGCCGCGTGTTAAGCTGATAGAATAGCACGCACCCTAGTACCGCGATGACGAAGAACGTCATGGTTAGAAGACGCGATAGGATGGGGTTCATGGTGATGGTCTTCTCGACGTCAGGATTCGAAAGCCGTACCTGCCGGTCCGGCCCTACCACCAGCGCGGCCGCGCCGAGGGTGGGGACCAAGGATACGGCGAGAAGAGTTGCCAAGGATGAGGTGGCCACTGCGTAGTGTCTCCGCTGTAGGGCGCGAAACGGCCGGGCGAAATTGAACAAGGTGATATAGTCAACGTTGACTGACTCTGCCGCTAGTGCTCCCCCTTCCTTGGATAACTGATAGAAGGCCTCGAGCCGCTTGACTTCGAAGTCTGTGTTTTGCCACAGCACGCCATACGTAACGGTGATTATCGTCGGGACAAATTTGAAGATGAAATAGTAGCCAGGTCCAAGATCGGTGGCGTTGTGGAATTTAATTAGAGGGGTATCAGCGGACCTCTGGAAGAGGATCTCCTGGGTAATGGCGAGGCAGACGGACAGGAGAATTAAACCAGTTACTGTAATTAGAATTAGCGATTCTCGTCTATTATATTATAATTATGGGATGTTTTTACTGGAATTACTCGACAACTCGGGGCTACGTTCTACATAGCAGATAGTCAAAGGGAGGCAGGTTTACTCGGGATTTACTCACTATACGGCCACCTCATAGAGAACGGTTTCCAATTAGGCTGTGGATAAAACACCTCGGTCTTCGTCTCCTTGCTGGGGAGTTGCGAGTGCCGACGGTTTGGATCCGACCCAACTACGTTAGGTCCAACCATCGTACTCAAGTCCGCAGGTTCTTCCATGATAACTTCTATCACGTCTCCCCTTCTATTCGCCTCGCTCTGTCCTAGCTCCTTCAGCCCCGCCCTCGATCTTGAACTAGACGCACTCTTCATAGAAAAAGATCTAGTAAAACTCCTTTTAAGAGATGGCGAGCTTGCTATAAGCTGTTCTCGCTTGATCGTGGCTGTCGGACTCATCCCTTTTCCTATACCACCGGTTAAGTGGCCCTCAGCCTCCTTCGCTTGTAGCGATTTGACGAACTTTTTGTCCAGGGAACCCATAGGCCTGGAGAAGGAAGATAAATCAATTCCTGGCTCATCACCAGCGACGGGGTCATACGGACCAGAGTGTCCAAGTGGCGCAGCTGCACGGAGCAGGGACATATCGATACTCTCATCTTCGTGAATTGTATCTTGGGGTCTAACACGGACGCTCTTGTAACGCCCGAAAGTTGAGTTAGAACGACTGGTAGGCGCCACTGGTTGGTATCTCCCACCTCCAGATCCAACAAAGGGTAGTGACCAAGATGGCCCTGACCCATAGGCATTTCCATCTGACGTGCCGTCTAACTGTGGAGCTTCGTAGGCGGACTGAAGTGATACGAGGGACTCCCGGCCCCTAATTCCGGCAGAGGACGTCTCATCGTTGTACGGGCTATCCGACAGATCGGAGACTTTGTGGTTCAGGTAATGTGCGGGTTGCCGGGGCGTAAATTGGAAATGGTTATTATAGGCCATGCCTACGGTCGCATTATTTTCAAGCGACGGTGGGGTCCTACTGGATTAGGTAGTTTATACTACACTACTTTCGACTGATGAAACGAGCGACGATGCGGTGGTTCTGTGTTCCCGCTATACAGAACAGATCTGTAATTATCTCTAGGCTATAGATCGCAAGATATATCCTCCGGTAGTAAACTCACAAGTTACACTCATCGAACTCATCGAAGTTCAAATGAGGAAAGCAAGTTGACTTCTCCAGAGCCTGAGAACCAATGGTTTAACTCTCTGCTTGCAAGTGCCGACTGTTTAGCTTCTTGTTTCGGTTGTACTGCGTGGATTCGTAAGCTAGTCGACCGTTAATACATCGAAAACAGTCTAGCCCTTTGGAAAAGGAAGGGCTGATAGATCAGATATGTATTATAAGAATGTTGTACCGAACTATCACGACATGTAGGATGCTCTATCAAGTCCTGCCAGTGTGTAGTCGCATACAGAAGAAGCGCGCTATAGACAAGAGGAGAAAGAGATGGTTCAGACAGATGCGAGAAACATCCCCCTCAATGCCCATACTCTAACAATAGGTATTCAATCATTTTTCAGCCGCTAATGGCCAGTCAAACAAGTGGACAAGCCAGCAACAAGCCACCGGCTTCAGCTATGGACCAAGCCTCCAGGCCTCCCAGGCAACAGGAGGAAACATCAAGAAGCTAAGAAGTTGGGGTTAGACATGCTGCAATGGTTATGGATCCTTATCCTAGCGAGTGCCCGGTTTATGTCCAGCTTTCACAGCCGCACCGACTAGGAGCGGGACTAGCAACTAAAGCTGGACGCTGGACGGCTGGGATTGGCCAGTGTGAGCGCCATTACTGATAGTCTAGCCGCCCAAAAAGAAAAAAAAAAGAAGAGAAAAGAAAAAAAAAGGAAAAAGGAACAAGAGGTCTTAGCTTCATTTGCAGGTAGGTATAGGATAAAATGCGAGACGTCGCGGCCAAGTCTAAGAACCCCGAGCAAACAATTATATACCATATAGAAAGAATCCCGACGATGACGTTACTGCGGAGAAATTCAGCAATATATCATCCAAATGAGATGGGTGCAGCTACGCCAGTAAGCAATGAAATGCACTATGCAATGCGCTTCGGGAATTACCCGTGAATAGATTGGTCTGCCATCGCCCGATGATAGGTAGTGACGCTTTCATCAAGATACCGGTGCCGGATCATGCAGAGATTATAGCAGTCGATTACCTTAAACGTTTTCGCTTCCCGATCTTTGCGACTTGTTCGTCACACGGAGGGGACCTCTGTAACATTCGACAGAATTGAAGGGGCCTATTGCAAGGCGTCACAGAATCTACCGATTCTCGTGGTTGTGTTATACCTTTCCGTAATATTGTAATTCACGAGCGCCTCCTCTTATATAATTAGCTGCTTTGAGCTTCTCATCCAAGTATGGCCTTGTTTTTCCTATACCCCCGTCTACATTTTGCCCAATACAATGTCGCAGTCTATCTGGACCGAAGAAGAGATTCGATACTTCCGAGCGTTGCTTACGTGGGTAGCAAGCGATGAGGAAGATGATAGTGGTTACGATAAATTGCCTCCCCTGGAGAGGCACGCTGGGGAGTTTATGTTCCTTATTTTAGGAGACAAGGGTTGTGGGAAGACGTCGCTTCTAGAAAGGGTAATCATATCTAGACGATTAAGCCTTCTGTCTTCTAACGATGCGCAGTTCTGCTCCGGTACATTCGCCGAAGAGGAGGATCGGTTACCCGAACTTAACGAGCAAGAACGAGGCTATCGTCATATCATAAGAATTGAGGACCAAACTTATGTCGTTAATGCCTTAGAACTTTTATCCCGGCATCTGTCCAGCGAGGAGCAGCTTACACAAGCAGTGCAAATTACGGAAGCTGTTGTCCTCGTATACGACGTCAAGTCGAGAACGTCCTTCACTCTCCTCCAGGACGTCTACAACCATATTCGCGATATGATCGGGCAGACGCGCACGTACGGCCTCATGCTCGTAGGTACCAACTCCGATTGCGAGGACGAACAGCGAGAGGTATCCTGGGCCGAGGGCCGCAAGCTCGCGGCAAGCTTCGGGCTTGGATGCGCGTTCCTCGAGACCTCGGCCAAATCAGGTGATAATATCGACAGGGTTTTCCCACAACTAGGGAGGGAGGTCCTCAAGTTAAGGTGTCTTAGCCATCAGCGGAGAGAAGAGGCCGAAAGGCTCTCTATTGATGCGAAGCAGCGCTCCATTGATATCTCTTCTACGAAAGGGATAATGAGATGGAGATCATGGACTCGACCTTGGTTTCAAGGAAGAACAGGAGATCGTAAGGTGTCAGCTCCCTGCTAAGTTTTAGTATCCTTCCTTTTCAAAAAGAGGCTTCTATAATTCAATCAAGTCTGTCTTGTATCGTTCTAGTTGATAGATGGTAAGACGAAATATCAACTTTCTCTGCTGACAATTAGCTATGCAAGAGTAGGCACTATTTTCGTAACTCGAGCGTGTGTATCGTGTATCCTGCAAAGGGAAGATATGATTAAGTCCGCGAAGTAGAGCTGCTCATAACTTGATTTTCAATAGATACTTAGGTAGATATTACTTTGCTTATTGATATACAACCAAAATAAACGAGCATCAAATGCTGTTAACTCCTAGATATTTTCCTTAGGTCCAACTTAATAAGGGATATATGAGAAAGTATGGTATAATACTAATACTAGGTAGGCATTTGTAGTGAATGCATCAATTCATATTGTATGCATCAACAGTTGTACGTAATTGACGATAATGAAAACGTGTACGTACATGTGAAGTTAATAATTTGTGAGGCTGAGTTGTTTTTTTTTTTTTTATGAAATCTAGACCGGTAGCTTGGGGATCTGTATCATTGATGACTGCCGCGGGGGGATTCGTAACCCAGTTAATTGGCACCGGATCACTCGGTTGCGACGTTCGATAGCAAGGGTAGGTAGGTATCCAGCAACGCCGCAAAGATCTTAGGTTAGATACCAAGAAATATCGGGTTCCCAGAGTTTAGAATTATTGTCATGAGAAAAAAAGACCCAAGAAACTTTAGATAATAACTTTTAGTCCTGTTGCGTGCATGTCTACTGTTTGCAACGGGTACGCACGCCGTAAGGTCTTCAAAGTTCGGTTGCTATGAGACATAAGGAGCGGATGACGACACCTCGCAGGATTGGAAGATCTTGATAGAGACCATAATGAGATCAGCTGGATCAGCAATGCACGGCTCGCCCGGTCGCATATCCAATGCAGCTAACACAGCCTATTTTTTTTTTTTTTCTTTTTTTTTTTTTTTTTGCAAAAGAGAAAAAAAAAACCAGACAAGACAGGATAGATAATGGACCAAACAGTTGCCGATTGGACTTCGTTGACGCTTGTGTCGGCAATACGGCTATATAATTCAAGATGTAATCAATCTTAAGTTTTTAAAAAGGTAATTAAATACGAGGGAGTATAACAAAACGGTCCTGTTTAGCTTGGGTTAGCTTATTCTTTTTACGCGTTTACACCTTTACACGTTTAGAATTTCATCTGTATGGATTCTTTGGATGGGTTACTTACCTTAGGTACTCCCCAAGAAAGGCAAGACTTAATAAATCGACCTTGCCGAGCAAACGTGCCCAGCTGCTTAGCATGCTTAGTAGGAGTTGCGCGTTCTCATGTACATACCTAATGTAGTCCGGAAGAGGGTCTGGTGGCAGTGCATGTAAGAGACGCTTACCCCTGTTGGATTGCATTGGCGCCGCCAAAACCGGCCGTGTTTCGAACTTCGTCTCTAACTTGGGGATAACCGCCGGTCAATCATAGTCAATCAAGCGGAGTGGTCACAGATCACCGGGTGCTCAGGTGTGGATAGGTTTTAAATTCTTCAAGCCCGTCTTCACCATTCAAGTGATGTCAGATGCGGGATGATGCAACCCAGATTTCGTCTCCTCAAATCAATTCGCAAGTAAATCACAAAGAGGTTGGAATATGTAAATTCCAAGTTATTATTACCTATGCAAGTTTCCCATGTGGCCCTGAGCTAATAAAGCACGAATTAAACCTAAATGGGAAGTCTTAAATTTCTTAGTTCTGTCTTGGAGCCAAGCGCCCACCCTTTTAGTCTAGTCTGGGCAAGTATCAGCAAGTAATCAGCAAGTATACGCAATACGTACATATTTGTGTCATTAGACCCAGGCTACTCATATTAGGTACATATGTAGATACCTTGTCATGTACGTATCGTGTCAGTAGACGCATTCCTGTGACAAGATATGCCACTAACAGGTAGGCAAATCAGGAAGGAGTAACTCAGATAATGGAATAATTAATCAATACGGAAATGACTAGCCCCTTTGTGTATGTACGCGTTACCTCCCAATTTTATTCCACATTCCCGCATTCCTCTCCCCCCCCTGCCAACCTCGAAACCGCTTGCTTTTCCTGTCCTTTACATCCACCACCTTGAATGGGCGCACACAATTCTCCCATGCTTTAGGACAGTCACTCGCTTCAAACTCTCTCTTCTACACTAACTCTCCACTAAACTTCTCTCCTACATCATCGACTAGTTGGTGTAAAATAATACCAGGAAGAAGAGCCCATTCTGCGAACGGGTCGTAGTTATTCTTTCCTGGCTTTTTCAATTCCACACCCCTTTTTCAACGCCACTCGTTTTACGTAGGGAGGATAGGTAGAAGTTGTTCGGGACAGGTAACCGACTAAGAAGTAGGAAAACCCCTCCAAACAACAAATTACTCTCGCTATCCCGATTTCCTACTCTTTTCTGGATTGCGTTCGAGGCCCACTCGTTTGTTTGAGGACAATCAACGAGCCTCTTTGTCGACAACCGCCTAGACCCGCTCACGAATGTGGTTGAATAACCATCGACAAAGGAAAACATAGCGGACACAGCCAGGTACCGCGTCGCCGGACCTCTTCAGGACATAAGAGTCCAGAGATAACTTGAATTATACAACATCGTCACACATCAACAACCATGTGGTTGTCAACAATAAGATCGGTCGCGCTCTTGTCAGGGCTTGCGGCTCTTGTCCCAGGTGCTATTGCCGCAGAGCCCATGCTCACCTCGAATTCGTTGAACAATTGTCAAGAGGATTCCCAGTTTACCGCCAGTCTCTTCCAGGTCGTTTACACCCCGAATAACAACACAGCTTTCCTGAACATCGTCGCGACATCATCCGTCGAAGGAAAAGTCAATTTCGATATCGACATCTCAGCATATGGCTACAGTATCATCTCGACAACTATCGACCCTTGCACGGTTGGGCTTGCTGGTCTCTGTCCCATGACTGCGGGTAAGATTCCGCTGAAGTTCAACTTACCTGTCGGCGAGGAAGCCGCTTCTCAGATTCCCAGTATCGCCTACAATTTCCCCGATCTAGACGCCACTGTCCGTGTTACCTTAAAAATGACCGACACGGGAAAGAGTGTCGCCTGTGTCGAAGCTGATATCTCTAACGGCAAGACTGTCAACTTGATTGCTGTCAAGTGGGTTCTCGCTATCATTGCCGGTTTGGTACTCTGTTCTTCAGCTATTATCAACGGCCTTGGTCACTCTAACGCTGCTGCCCATATCGCTTCCGGCGCGCTTTCGCTGTTCAGCTTCTTCCAAGCCCAGGCTATTCTTGGTCTAACCTCTATCCATTTGCCCCCGGTTGTTCAGTCGTGGACTCAGGATTTCCAGTGGTCGATGGGTATCATCAATGTCGATTTCATGCAGGATATCTTTACCTGGTATCAGCGAGCTACTGGTGGTACACCTTCCACCATTTTCGACTCTTTGACGACCGTTTCGGTGCAAGTAGAGAAGCGCGCGCTCTCCGTCCTTCCCGATGCTGCTGTTGATTTGTACCGACGATCGGCTGCGATCCTTCCCCGCGGTGCTTCATCACTGATGAAGCGCGGTAACGTAATGACGGGCTCAGGCAGTTACCTCGTGTACGGTATCCAGCGTGTGGCTTTCAGAGCCGGTATTGAGACGACAAATCTTTTCATGACTGGTTTGACGTTTTTCTGCCTGTTCGTTGTCGTTACCATTGGTGCCGTGGCTGCATTCAAGGGTCTCTGCGAATTAGCTGTGAAGCAAAAGTGGATGAAAGGCGATACTTTCCTCGAGTTCCGCAATGGATGGCTCACGGTCTTGAAGGGTATCCTGTTCCGACTTACCCTTATTGGTTACCCTCAGATGGCTATCTTGTGTCTCTGGGAGTTCACGCAGAATGACTCGCCCGCTGAAATGGTTCTAGCAGTATTCTTCATTATTGGAATGACGGCTACTCTAGGCTGGGCTGCCTCTAAGGTCATCCGAATCGCTCGCCGCTCGGTTGCTATGCACCGGAACCCCGCGTACATCCTCTTCTCCGATCCCCAGGCGTTAAACAAGTGGGGATTCTTATACGTCCAGTTCCGTGCCTCCGCGTATTACTTCATTATTCCGGTCCTTGGATATTCTCTGGTCAAGGCCATGTTCATCGCCTTCTCGCAAGGCAACAGCACTGCCCAGGCCATTGGATTTCTCCTGATCGAAGCTGCTGCTCTGATTACCGCCAGTGTACTCCGACCCTGGATGGACAAGAGCACTAACTCGTTCAACATTGCCATTTTCTGCGTTAACTTTATCAACGCAATTTTCTTATTGATTTTCTCAGATGTTTTCAACCAGCCTGCGTTAGTCAATGGTGTTATCGGTCTTATTTTGTTCTTCCTTAATGCTATATTTGCTACCATCCTCCTAATCATGGTCATTGTTTCGACCACCCTGGTCTTCTATCGCAAGAACCCCGATGGTCGTTACCAGTTCATGGCTGATGACAGAACGTCGTTCATGAAGTCGCAATCTCAACTCACAGGTACTACCGAACTAGACGCCCTTGCCGCCACCGCTCGCGGTGACAAGGCGGGCTACAAGCACGGATTAGACCTGGACGACGACAACGAGTCGATATCCTCTGCTGAACTGCGCCGTCGTACGGATTCGTCGAACTTAACCGTCCCTACGAGAGCCCCGAGCAACCCATACGGCCGCAGCAACACGAACCCGCCCCATTCCCCAGTAGATCCCTCGGTACCTCTATTTCCGGCCGCTGGTGGTCCACCAAGGGCTCAGAGCCCCTATGCCGGATCCAGCGCTCCCTTGCAACAACAGCACAGTGGCAGTCCTCCTTCATATCGAGCACAGAACAATGCTAGGTAAGCATCATTAAAAATTTAGTAGTTAATATAGACTAACAGGGAGCAGTCCGTGGCAACGAGGTGCAGGTTACGAACACTAGGTAACGGTTATGATGCCGGAAGGAGGTTTCTACTAGCAGGACGTAGACCGAGTGTTAAATAATACTAGGATACAATCATGACAATGGGGCCGGAGTTAATATAGGAGGACAACTCTTTTTGAGAGGATTCTGACTTGAAATAAAGCGGCCGTCGAATACCCAATAGTACCGCCGATGAAAAGCGGCGGCCCGGCCGACAATCCTTTCCTATGTTCTCGAACCTTGTATTAAGGAATCGGCCTTATAACGCGGGGTGTTTAGCGCGTCAACAGCATTCAGGAGGCGTCGTTAGGGATGTGATGTTCATGCGATATTTTTTTCGATCAGCTGTACCAAACCCGAACTTGCAAAGTGTAAATACTACCCAGAGAACCTCGCAAAAGGGATAAAGAATTTTCCAAGAAATTCCTGGGAACAGCTGGGCTGAGGAGTTATGGTTTTTTTTTGTACCTGGGTTATCACCAATTATAGACCGCCATATGCGGGGCGGCAAGCTTGTCAATAGCTAATCAATAAATACGGCTTTTAACGAATACTGTCGTACAAACCGCGATACCACTAAAAGGTTATTTGGTAACAGATTTTATTCTATTATCTTTTATATTTGTATCGGACAGATAGAATATCTGACAGATCATCGATAATCTAAACGGATTTTCCCGTAGTTTCTCCATTTCTATAGTATACGGGACTAATATGCCCAGTCAAGAAGCTATAGTCGAATCGAACAATACGGAGTATTAATTATGCCTTTAACCACATATATAACATATACATGGTAAGAATCTTGACATATGTAACTCATGTTTCACAAATCTCTGCACGGGCCTACCAAATCAACGCCACGGCAGTTTCCTGGCACCGTTTCGACTATGGCTTCAAGACTTAAAGTCGACTATATATCGAAACTGACTCTTCAGATAATACCCGCTGCTGTGATAGTATTTGGCAATCGGAATTTTAGCCTGGGATGGTGGGAAGTGCGAGGTGGCCATGGGGATGGACCAGAAAACGGGCTGGAAGGTAGTCGAGAAACAGCGGTTTGGAATTGATATAAGGCGGAATGAATTAATGCCAGCGTTCCTGGTGCCTGTGTGGCCTCGTTTTTGCTTAGCAATGTTTTAGTCTTTATAGTCTAGCCCTATTCTGATATTCCTCTAGAGTTCAATGGTGTAAGTTAAAGGGGATAAAGACAAATAGTGTACCTTTTCGGTTACGACCCCACATGTATAGCGGAACTCTATATAATGGGACGGTACACTAAGCTGAAGTGTACCCACATAAACTGTATGCAGATGGTTGGTTCAAATATTCCGAGATCTGACCTCAACTTATGTAAACCGGTAAACCGCATCAACCATCAACTCCTAAAAGTCGGGCATTGGGTTCTTTGACCCGCTCTCCATTTCCTATCCATGCAATTTTGATATGCTATGGCCGTCTTCGTCGTCTTCGTGGTACTGCACCTCGATAGACATCATTCATCTTCTGATGTTATAACATAACCTAGGTCCTAACCAACTTCGCAATGACGACCCCTGCTTCCCCCCCTCTCGCGACTGTCGTGCCAGCCCAGCTGGGCTTCCTGGCAATCTTCAATCCCTCCCTGGGCACCACCGACGAAACAATGGACGACCAGATAGTCTACTATGCATCCGTGAATACCCAGTTTAAGAAGCGACGGCACCGCTCGCGTGGTAAACCTACCGATAGCATCTCCCAAGATGAGCGCAACGAGCGGCTGAGGCAGATTGGTTTGGCACAAGGTATGGTCGAGTTCAGCCGTGGGTTTGCCGATGGCCAGCCAGTCGATACGATAGAAACAGAGAAGAGTCGCGTCGTGCTGCATGAGCTGGAGTCAGGTTGGTGGATATTAGCCGTAGGGGAAGACACCCTTTTGCTCCGAGTTAGAAGCTGATATATCCCAGTCTATTGATTTGACAAGATTACCCCTACCACCAAGGCTCGGAACTCCCTCTTCAAACCAGACAAGCGATCCGTCTGAAAATGTTGAATATTCGTCTCGGGAAGTCAAGCCAGCTGTTCTGCTAATGCAAGATCTCCTCCGCGCCCATTCAATCTTCTTGCTGCACCATGCTGCGTCCCTGAGCGCCTTATTCGTTCGATTGAGACGACCCAAATTCGTTAGCATATTAGGTCGATACTGGGATCTGTTTCTGTCTACTTGGGATGTCATGTTACACGGTAACCCCACCACCAGCGTATTTGGTGGCATCAAGATCGCTGCTTGTGGCGAGCTTGGCGTCGGTGTTGGAGAGGAGGAACGCGGAAGCGGCGAAAGAGAGGTCCTTGAGGGTTTTGTCGATAGAACCGAAGGCTTAATTGACTTAGTCGTATCCAAGTTCGGTCCCTCGGAGTCCGATATGGACGAGGGTTCTAAAGGGGACGAACAATCGGCTTCGAAATGGCTCGGTACCGGAGAAGAGCCGGGCGCGGAGGATGGTGCTATTTTCCTAGGTATAGGGGCTCTATCAAGGAAATCAGTGCGTGATGTTGCCTACTGGATGGAAGACCTCTACATGTGGGGTGAAGACGCGTATGGAGTTAGAGATAGCCCGTCTTCAACACGCCAAGCCAAGAAATCTAAGAAATCCACCCCGACAAGCACTAAAACTATCACTGGAAAATCTACAGTTGCTTCAGAGCCGAATAACGCGACTAATTCAAACCCCCAGAGCGCACAAAAGAAACCTACGAATACAAGAGAACCAGACACAGCAACACCCCAAACCACCGAAGAAGCGGACGACGGGGGTGGGGTCAACCGATTTATGAGTTACCTTAAGATGGGTTATGGTACTCACTGGACACTGGGCGGCTCTAGTGGAGGAGATAGTACAGAGCACGAGGGAACGATACCCGGAGAAATGTCTAGGGATAAGACGCTTAGTGATCCCCACCGACCACCAAAGGCTCTCAGTGTGAATTCGGGCTATTATCTCATAGGACTTCTCGGCAATGTCGAGGAAGCCGGTGATATCGAGCATGACGAGAATATAGAGCAATCTGATGGTCCGTCCGAAGACGTTGAGTATAACTCTAGGATCTTACTTCGAACCCTTACTGTGGAGCTAGAAAATGCAAAACGCCCCGAAGCTGAGATAACGCGAGATTTTGGAAACCAAGACCGTGAGCGATCGACGACAGCAGAGCCTGGCCGAGGTTCTCAAGAAGCGACTTCTCTTTTTGATAATCAGGATCTTAACAAATCGCAAAAGGTGCGCATAGTAGTGTACGTGAATAAGCCATTCATTTATACATTCCTATTCCGAAATAGGACCGACTCCCTAGCCTGGAGCGAGCTGTATAGGTCATTGCACTATCAGCTTGCACCGCTTCGGAAACCCTTGGCGACGTCTACGGCCTACCGCCCCGGAAGACCGGATATTGGACCAGTAAGCTCTCATATCTTTGACCTTATATGGGATCCAGAAGCCATGACGATCCATTCCACCATCCCTAGCATACCCACGCCGGTTCAAATGGTACAAAATACGCAGCCAGTTTGGTCTCGGATAGAAGCGGTAAATACTCATAATCAAATACTCAACACATATATCACAACGTCAACAGATCCGTCTGAATTGGAACGCACTTGCAAGACAAGTCGTGGTTGGTGGATTGTCTGGACGCGCATACTTGAGCAAGACGGTGCCCGAACCCCGGTACAGCCGCCAGACTCTTCAGACGCGAGCCAGATCCCCAACCTACAGCACAGCGAATCAACAGAGAGTATTAATTCTCAGGGTCAGCCCAGGAGCACCCGGTCTAGGGGCAAGGTTAGCAAAGAGATATTCCTCATCCGTCGAGCGGGCGAGCATACGAGGCTTAGGGGGCTAAGCAGCTCATACGCAGAAGGAGGTGGTTGGGCAGATGGAGCTAGTCGGCTCGCCCAAGGCATTGGTGTGGACACGAAGAGATATATCGAGGGGCTACTAAGCCTGGGCCGATAAAATCTTGTGGTTTGCGGCGTTCGATCTTGGATTAGGTACTGGCGGGACGGCTATAGCTATAAATGGGACAGAAGCATTAGAGTCCCCCAGGATACCCAGCAAGTTGCTACGGAGCATTTTCAGGGGCGTCTCCTTCGGTTAACATGTTCATCTGCCTGGCGTATATAAATTAAGGATAAAAAATTAAGGATAAAGGTAAAATTGATGGAGATATGAATATACGCACTGATAATAGCAAGCTTAGCTTTGGCCATAAATAGATAGATGATAGGGTGATAGCTAAAAATATATTCAGTTACTATTGTCTACCACTGATGTCTAGACGATTAGGGTGTTGCTAAATATCACGTTATGTAACGATTTCTTGTGTCAAGCTCTTGTGTCAAGCTTGCTTCTACATAGAAGTCTATTGCTCGTCAACTAGGTAGATTACAAAATAATTAGGTACTTTATATCAAATTTGATACCTTATGCTTAAATGGTTGCCTACCTACCTACCTAAGGTACTCGGTAGTTTTAGGCACGTAGCAAACATCACAGGCTTAAGAGGCCTAAATAATATGCGGGCAGTAGGGTCACGCACTGCACCGTCGTGAGGGCAACCAAACTGCCAGCCCGTGCAGGTGGCAGCCCCCCCAACCCGACGCAGGTGCAGCAATACATAAGGAGCGGTTGCAAAGGCACTTTCAACATTCGGGGGTGCCAGCCACGAGACCATTTGGTGTAGTGGTAACGCTTACGGGGCTATAAAAGCTGACGGACTCAAACCGCAAATATGACATCTAATACTCGACTTCGGTCGATGCAGACGGCATGGTTCGAGATGTCACTTCAAATATCCTACCTGGCATTCCATTTTTTTTTTCCTTTTTGCACACTTTTAGATAGTGCACCCGTGGGTCTACCTTGGTACTTTACTTTATTTTTGCCATACGTTTTGGTGTTTTTTTAAAAATTATTTTTTTCTTGTTGGCGAACTGGAGTTTTATCTCGAGTTTATCATGGTGGTTTGTCCATCCGCAGCCATGGGATTTTATGTAGCTCAACCTCCTACAATTTTTTTAGTCCCTAATTTTCTTCAATTACGAATAATTCTTTCCCATTTTGAAATATATATCTATTATATTGCGTTGATTTTATCTAGATATTAAAGCATATTTATCAACAGCCTTTACAGGTACCTAAAGAAGCGTGTCATGAGAAATAATATGCAGGTGATATCTATTATATTTTTGTTTAATTTGCCAAGTTGTGTCCTCGAGGACTACTACAGCTATGAGGCCTTCCAGGCCAACCTCCTCATCTTTCTCTAGTTGTGCACACAAAAGGGCAGGAAAGACGTAAATACTGTAATTAGATTCGTGCTATGCGAGTAATTCCCACCCCTCTTCGCTCAGCGTGTCTTTCGGGACACTGATCAGTCTTGAAGAGACAACATCTTCACTGATACGGTACTTCCCTCCAGCATGGCTAGAGAATAACTTAAGGTGTGTCCTGTAGGATACTCAGGGGCGGTACCTGTCTAGGTATTCCTATTATATCGGCACTCTACCCACACCCTGTTCTACTTGACTCTATTTTGCCTTGATCTACTAAGGGTTACTTGATCAAAAAGACACTTGCCTTAGTTAATTTTAATTTTATAGTGTTAACCTCCCAACAAAACAGACTACCTACCCCATATAATCCAAAGTATACCATGATACTCCAGATTAAAGGACAAGTAACACCACAAATTAGCAAGTATCCAGGTAGGCTATCCAAAGCTGGGATAATCAAAGTCATTTTATAAAGGTCAAAGCACCGTTTCGTATGCATACACTAATGTAGTGTAGATACTCAGAACAGCGTCAAAATAGATGACCCATTTAATTTCTTGACTTTAATCCTTTATTTTAACTTGAATAACTTTATCAACTTTTATAGAAGCTAGATAAAAGTTATATGATATAATATTTAATCAATTTGGTTTAATATAAGAATTTTTAAAAATTTTATCTTTTGATTTGGTTGAAGAATTGTATTGTAAGATGTGTGTGTATATTATTTTGCTTGAGTGGGGATGGGTCATCTATTTTGACGCTGTTCTGATACTACAGTATGTATGTAGACAATCTCCGAGTGCTGCGCCACGAAGACGAAATTTGATATGTAATGAAGGGATCTGAATATGCCCGTGCTCAGGCTAAGCAAGGCAAGGGAACTGGGGAATACATATGAGTGGGTACACCTATAATTAAATTACGAGTTACAAAGTCTCCCCACTGGCCAAATACTTGGCATGACCCGGTTACTTGGTACCATTGTACGCATCATCGTGGAGGCCTTACCGATCACAAGCCCAAGCTTTAATCGTGAATGGGGCCGTCCGCATATGCGAGTACTTGCCATGATACGAATTTCAGGATGCTTCACAATGGAAAGGGACGTACAACTAAAATTTAGATTGGTAAATCCTTTTCCATTCCTGATCATATCAGATCATTTCTACCCAAATCTGTAAATATGTACAGAAGAATCAAAGTCTGTAATCCGATCCCAAGCTTCCGTCCTTAAGATGGATCAGAACTTTAAAAAAGAAGGTACCAAAACGGGTATAACTCCTCAAGCTGTTGCTGACACCTGCCAACCGATCCTGGTTGTGCTGTAACGAGCGCCCAAAGCCTTTTCCCCTTGGTATAATAATTGTTGACAGCGTCGAAAAAGACGCCACAATCTCAGAAAAGAATATCATCAAGGCCATATAGTGCCCGTTAGTCGTCAAGAAACTTATCCCTGTGCTCTTCGCTGCGCGAGGACCCCAAACAGAAAAGCTGATTTGGCTGATGCCCGCGTTATCTCCCCGGGCCCGGCAGACAAGGGCCGGAAAATGCGTAAACGAGTGTTCCATATTTACTCGTCAATAGTCCAGCTGCAGTCAAGACGACCGCCGTCCAGGGAGTCGAACAGGTCAAGGAAGGTGTGGGGGGTGACATCGATGGCAAGGTTAACACAGCCGTCGCAGCGGTCACGAATCGTAGCCTTGGTTGTCTTGCCGTCGGAAGTACTGATTGTGATGGTCTTGTCACAGAGCGGGTGCGCCGGCTGGTCGATACCGTAGCTGGTAGCTGTGCTGATGCTGTCCCAAAACTCTTTGGGAATAGCGACAATGTTTTCGGTGTCATCCTTTCCTTCGTCTTCGTAGCCACAGGCGCCTAATGCTGCATTATAATACGTAATTTGGCCGTCAAACGTCTTGCCATACGGAATTCCGTCGCTGCCTGTGCTACCACCGGAGCTGCTTGAAGATGCCGGAGGCGCAGCGACGTACGTACTAGTTGAGGATGCGGCGGGAGTTTCCGTAGTCTGCTGAGAAGGAGCCGCCTCATATGTGCTTGTAGGGGTTGTAGGAGAAGGAGCCGCCTCATACGTGCTTGTAGGGGCTGGAGCAGACGTTGCCTGGTAAGTAGATTGGGCAATGCTGATAATGGTAGTTGGTGTCGAGGGCTCAACCTTGGAGCTCTCAACTGTGGGAGTCTCGACGACTGTAGGGGTCTCGACTGTGGGGGTCTCGGCAACACTGCTAGAGCTAGTGGAAGACGTCTCATAGAACTGGATGGGAGTGCCTGTGCTTGTCTCCTGAGGCGAAGGAGGAATTGTCTGAGTTGAATCGTCATCAATTATGACGGTGGCAGTTTCCCAGACGGTCTCCCACTCGGTAACGAGTTCTCGCTTGTTATGGCGGTGACGGTTGTGGCCATGAGGCTGGGCAATGGCAACTGAGGCCAAAATGGCAGCGGCGATAGTTGTAGACTTCATATTGGATAATGTTGGCTACTCCGATATGTACTCAGAAAGATAGTATCGAGGTTTTTCGATGTAAACCAGGGGATCCAGCCGGAAGGATATATATTCAAAAAATTTGTCAAGTTTGCTCGACAAAGAACTTCTTATCCTTGAATTCTAGTAAATTTTGTAGGTAATGATTGGGCAGGACTGTTTCTGGATCTCTTCCTTCGAGAATGAGTGTTAAGAAGCAGCTGTATAGGGAATGAATGTATACAGTGAGCACTGCTCCTGGAAAATAATGAATGATATATGATTTCGTGGAGAAGCTGGAGAAACAGAAGTTGTCGAGTTGAAAGGAATGTAAGGGGACTTTATTTATCTAGCAGGGGAGAAGAAAAAGACCTCTCGTGGAGGCCACGGCGAAAGACAAGGGGGGCAGCAGAAAACAACAAGGAACAAAAGCACAATCAGGGCATGGCTCCTGCCTGATGTACACTAGTAGTACCTGACGAATTCATCAACTTAAGTTAATCGATTATGATTGGCCGGGCCACGTTGAAACAACCCGCAACGGGGGGCTTCCCAGATGCTCTTTCTCCCCTTTGGAACAATCGGACCAATCAGCAGCTCCGGATCTAGGCGGGTTCAACGTGGCTAATGGAGGGTATCAGGCACGCCGCACGGGTCAGCTAGGGCTGTTTACCGGGACGTACCTGACTGATACTTCGCTATTCATGCAAGGTACCGCTGACGTTAGCTTATGCCATCGAGGAACTAGCCAATGGGATGACTGTGTACCCCTGAAAAAGACGAGTTTTAGTGTTAATCCCTCATTTTAGCCCTCTGGCCCTAGACTAGGGTCTTTAGGGTCTTAGGACGATCGCCTTTCCACTGCAGCAGCAGAGCAGTGCAGCCAACTTTTGCCAATCGAATTTATTGATCCTTCCAAACTGCAAGTGCACACATACATAGTACATAATATGTCTCCACGTCGGACCATGTCCACGTTGGCGTGCTTAAGAGGGCTGAAAAGCTCCTCGCGCCGGCGTTTCTCTATGCTCCACACGGTAGGCTTGCTTCTAGCAGTCTGTGCTTCTAGACAGCCTCTTCCCCCTCTTCCCCCCCTCCGGCCTTAGTTGCCGCCCGAGGTATCCATTAGCTAACGACTTTTCACGGTGTATTCGTCGGGCGGGTGGGCCGACGTCTCTATTGTCGAGACCGTTTTCGTACCGGTTAGTACATAAGTGTACCTGTTCCCGCCATGGAGCTTGGTCCGATGCCAATTAGCACATGGAGAATTCAGATGCCGTTCTAGGCCACTTCTACTTGATGGAGGTGTGGACACTAGTGGACAAGGCCACGGGATCCGGCCTTTGTTCATCCCACATGCTCAGTCTTTGTAAGAGTTCCCTATTGCTCGGGTCTCCGCATGGATATGTGTGTCAGTTTCACCGCTTCGAATCGTCGAATTTCTCCACGCTGCGGACACCCGAATGTCGGCACTGGACCCCCTTTCTGCCGCTGCTGGTCGTAGCTTTCGGCCGCTTGCATCCACCATGCAAGCTATCTATCCTGCGGCTTTGTGGGTATAGAATCAAGAATGATCGAGTCTATACTCGAGACTAAAGTACAACGAGCCTAGAAGGGGCAAGGGATCCAGGCTTCTTTCACATGGGTGGCCTTTGTGATACAGAACAACCCTTTCCCCAGAGCCGAAAGAACTAGGTACTTGTTTGCAACGTGAGTTCTATTCGCATTGTCGCAGGCGCATTGGCCTCGGCTTCATTGTTTGCGATATAGAATGGTTGAACTTCGTTGCTCTGACCTCGCTTATTATTAACGAGAACATCAAGATGATACAAAGTTTAGGTTTCGGTACCAACCTTGAGTGTATCTTACAGATGGCGTTGGGGTAAGGCGTTCAGACTGCCGTCTCTACTGGCTTCTCAGTGCCATCACTGTCTACTATTGGCTCATCAACCAGGCTCCTTTTTCGTTACGCGTTCTCCGTCCGCTCATCCCTTTCGATTCATACGTAAACTAGGCGAGGTAGAGAATTGTCTAGACACTGCGGTATAAGCCATTGGTCCTGTTTTTTCTTTCTTTTTTTTCGTACTATCTCGGCTATCTGGATGTGGTGTGGCCTGCTTATTTACACGCCACCCTTGACACTTATTGGTGAGCGAATAATCGATAATCGATCGAGGATCACGACCTTTGCATAGCGTCCCGCGAATATCAAGATCGACATATCTGTTGCAAACAATATGTGACCATCTCAAGAATATCAAAACTATATATTGTGGCTACCAAGTTCTGCCGCTAATGCACTCGCCACCACCAGTGTAAGTGTAAGCGCACTATCGGCGCAAGAAAACTAATAGTTACAAGTCCTTCCGATTCTCCTGCGTTAGCAACTTCAACCGGTCCAATAATAATTGGTCTACTATTCAGACGCTAACAAATTTGAATAATTTCTAAGCATCTATAGAATAATTATGTATAGTAGTCATCAACTTACACTGTCGCCGAGCTTCTCCGCCGGTAAGTCCCGAGCCTATAGATAAGCTTCTTTGAAAAATCTCTTCATCTACATAGACACGGATTATAGCAAGATTCACGATAAGCTATGCTATACCTTACGTAAAATGGGGGCCGTGGAGAGTCTTTTTCTTTTCTCCGCTAGGCTACGCAATCAAGATATACTAGGTAGTAGTCACAGGCAATGCAGACCATTAACTTGAATCATCAGATTGTAGAACCACGGGCTTATGCATAGGAATTGTATCATGTCAGAATTGTCTGCGTAGTTCCAATGATAATCTATGAATTCAGAGTATGCCCGAAACCGGGTGATAGCAATTGGTTAATGTTCTTTTCACTCCAACATTGAAGTCTCTATTAGAAGGTAGCCTGCCTGCAAGTTCCCGTCTTGACTCAGCCTACACAGGAGCTGACGTGATAGACGTAACACTATCTTCCACGGCAGCAAACAGGACTTAATTTATGCTGACAGTCAGCCACGTGCAGAAATATCTAGATGCGAAACTAGGATATGCCGAAAATACCCGGACGCATTAACAATGAGAAGGGCAATAAAATCTAAGAGCACAACCCCCCTTATGCAGCCTGGAAAGTATAGAGGAAGAGCCCCTCTCTGCTGAAGACGGGTCGGTCTTCATCCGGGACTTCGGTTACTTTGAATAGCTTCTGGGCCTTTTTGAGGAACTGCATGTCGGCGCGTCTCCTCTTCTTGAAGCAGAAGTAAATGGTGGCTGAGGGACACAGTTTCAGAAGATCTGACAACGTGGCCAGGAGCAGCGGGAAGGCAGGTTCGAAGTAGACGCAGTCTGCCGCGAGGATCACGTCTGGCTTAAAGACAGCGATATCCTGTGGAAGAGGCTCACCCCTGCAATACCGAAGTGACATGTATGTTAGTAATAGATGCACGTATGCGTCTTTATGGCGCATAAGCCCCGTGGGGAAACGCGGAGCAGAACGGGAGAAGGAAACGCCAGGGATAAACTGACCAGTTTAGAATGGCAGCTTTGGCTTGGCCCTCGAGCCCGTTCAAGCTGATGTTGTGCTCCATCAAGGAATGCATCTCCAACTGATCGGTAATATAGAGCGGGTTCCCAACCGCGCACCCCTTGGCAACCGCCAAGCCCACCAATCCACCTCCGGCTCCGAGTTCTAATCTAGATGCCGAGAGCGTCTGTTAGTAGGAACCGGCCCCAAAGTCCGCGTTTCTAAAAAGCAGCAATAAATATAAAAGGGGCGTTGGATTAAATCCCGCACTTACATCCGCGAGTCTCGCATGTCGTCCCGGTGGTACCGGAGCATATGTTTGGCGAGGACCATGCCCGCGGGCCAAGTCTGTCCGCCGCAGCCGGAGGCCAGATCTTCGTGCAGCCGCAGGGGCTCGGCGAGGAGCCCGGCGAAATCGGTTGCGGTGGTGCCGGCGGCCTTGTACGCCGGGAGCGGCGAGAGGTCCTCGCCAATAGCCAGAGGCGAAAACTCGGGAGAAGGCGAGCGCTGAGGCGGCGACATTTTTTTGGGGAGTTGGTCGTTGTCACCGTTTTTCTGTCTGAGAAGTCATTATGACTAGTAAGTTTAGGCTGACGGACGGACGTGTGGTTTAGATAACGAATTATGGGTTTGGGCTCAACACAAAAAAAATAGGGGACGCCCCGGTTTACATGCTGCCTTCCGGTGAATCTATCGGGATCTAGAACGTCAGGCACCACCCGCTTATGGCACTATCACGAATCTAGCTTTCTAGTGCCCCTGTAAATAAATCGGGGCTGGTGTCTTGCATCACAATAAGCCGGATTAAGGTGTAAAGCAGCTTCTATATCTTAGCAATACATGCATGTGAGAGGTAATCTACGCTTTGTATTACTTTGGGTATCAAAGGTGTATAAGGTTTAAGATCCGAGCCACTTGAATAAAACGAGTTATTGGGCTGTATCTGTAATTCAGCATGTGGCTGAAAGTGTCGTCTAATGGCTAGTGCTACCTGTTAGTAGATGTTTCACTGTTATATCGCCTATTCATGTAAGGAGCTCATTTTCATCCCCTAGCTCACGAGAGACAGCCAAGTTGAAGATTCGGGAGTCAATAAAATTTCATACAAGGTATTTGATCCTTATAGATCTGCCCAAGCCTTAACCACGCAGGACTTTAGAGCCGAACGTGTTATTGCATCTTGTTAAGACATCATCGTGTCTACATTCGTAAGTAAAACTCCGATGAGGCTACTCTGGTTGAACTAGACATCTGAGCCAAAGCGACATTTCTATCGAACGCTTCTGTGCGCTAACAAAACGGCCTTGAAAAAGATACACGTAGGTATTCTAGCTTCTTATCTCATGCGATGGAGTATTTTGAAATGAGAAAAAAGAAAAAAAAGGTTCTTCTCGTCTATGTTTCGTCGAACAAGGAAAGATCGGGAGGCTATACTTGGAAATACACAATGGGTTAGGGCTAAATCGGCGAAGTTGTAATGTCAGGCTAACCACCATTACTCCTTTTCTCACTCGTTTTTTTAATTAAATCACTATGTGCCTAAGACTTACGAGGGCTTGAAGCCGTATCCATCGTGGAAAATAGTCTCTTATCGCGGGCCACCGCTCTCTTCTCTTTCCAGTAGAAGCAGCCTACAAAGAGGAATATTGCCTAGCCATGCCATGCCATAATCTTCCTCAGAGGACCTCGCTTCTAGGTACAATATGTAAAATTAAACTGCTTCAAATTTCAGCGGCGCTCCCTTCCAACCACCGTGTTCCCGCCCCCGCGGGAATGCGATCGCCCACCAGCCTTAGGCGATCGCGGCCAGGCGCGTGGCTGAGACATTAGAATTCCACCAGCCTTACGCGATAGCCTGGTCGGACGCGCCAGGAAATCTAATAGATCGTACGGATTACTTACCTGATGAGACCCCCTCCAACCCCCCCTTCCGTCATTATCGAGTCTCGCGCGCTTCACAGCCTCTGCGATGGCAGTCGCCTTCCGGGCGAGGGCAGGGCAGGACAGGGCGGGATGAGGCAAGGTGCAAGGGAGCGTCGGCGTCATTGTTGAAGAATGGCCTCCTGGTATAGTGTTGGCTGTAGGCCGACATCGATGCTCTCGCAACTTCTCCTGTCTTTGTCCTGTTCAACCATAGCATAATGTCTGGCCATGCGAACGACGACTACAGTATCTGATCTGATCTAACTTACGTATCGCAAGCTCAATATAGCTCCTTCGACGTGGTCGTTCACTCTTATGCGAGCAGCTTAGGCAGCTGTTATATATCACGATGGTGGCGAAGTGTAAAGAGGTTTTCGCGTTCGGCGTAGCAGCGGCGGCGATGCTAGCTGGTGCCGCCCCTGTCGACTACTTCCCAATCAACTCACAACTACCACCCGTAGCTCGCATCTCAGAAGCTTTTGATTTCACATTCTCTCCACTAACTTTCTTCTCTAAATCCGATATCACGTACCGGCTCGGCAACGCGCCGAAATGGCTCTCAATCGACAGCTCCTCGAGGCGGCTTTTCGGGACACCGAGCGATGACGATGTCCCACCGGGAGAGGTTGTTGGGATCCCGATCGAGTTGATTGCCGAGGATGCGACGGGATCCACGACGACAAAGCCAACTTTGGTGGTATCTAGGAATCGACCGCCTATTATCAACGTGCCCATCTCGAAACAACTCCCCAAATTTGGGACATACATAGCTCCCTCCACATTACACCTTCATCCCTCAAAACCTTTCTCCTTTAGCTTCGACGAGCACACATTCCGCACTGATAGCGGAGACGATGAGCTCAACTACTATGCGGTGTCTGGCGATAACGCGCCTCTACCCTCATGGATTACCTTCGATGCCGGAAAACTCTCCTTCTCCGGCAAGACGCCCCCGTTCGAATCGCTTGTTCAACCTCCGCAGACGTTTACCTTCCAACTAGTCGCTTCCGATGTCGTGGGGTTCGCGTCAGTCTCGGCGTCCTTCTCGATAGCAGTGGGGAGCCACGAGCTAACAGCCGAGCCGCCGGTAGTTAAGCTCAATGCGACGCGAGAAAAGCATTTCGAATACAAAGACCTGTCAAATGTGCTGAAGCTCGATAAGAAGCCTTTGAAGCAGGACGATATAGTAACGGTCACTGCGCTCGATCTACCCCCTTGGCTGTCTTTCGACAACGAAACCTGGGAGTTGGATGGCACTCCCGAGTTAACTTCCGAGTCGTCTAATATAACCATAGTTGTCACCGACAAATACTCCGATACCTTGAACCTAACTATCTCGATTCATTTTGGTTTATTTATCTCAGACCTTCCCGATCTCAACGTCAAAGCAGGCGATGATTTCTCGTTCGACTTGAAGAAATACTTATCAAACCCGGAAGATATCCGGGTTACAGTCGAAGACGAGTCGGGGGCATCATGGGCTGAGTTTAACTCTTCTTCGATGCTCCTATCGGGATCTGTACCTAAGCACATGCCCGTGAAACTTCGAGCAACGCCATACGTCGCCTTCAGCGCAACTTCGAAACACACGAACGAGACAGATACTAAGATTATGAATATACACTTCGCCTCTTCGTCTCCTACCGCTTCACCGAAACCAAGCACCGAGCCGACAGATTCAGACAAGGATGATTCGAACAAGAATTTGCTCTGGTTGCTTATAATACCCATTTTCCTCATATTTGCCGGCATCGTACTTCTCCTTTTCTATATTCGACGGCGGCGTCAACAGCCGAGGAGAATAGGGGTCAGGGAGGTGTCCGGACCTATACCGGGAAGTTTCACGACCCATCGCCCCGACAGCCGCAAGGGTCCGGTCATTAGAATAATAGATATAGCACCGCCACGTGATTCCGAGAGCACAGCTGCGCAGAGACATCGCGTGTCCGCCGGTGCCTCAAATCGGCGTTCGCAGACCGCATCGAGTCCGAGTTTGACTGGAAACGTGCTTCCCCATGCTATGATGGCGATGTATTCCAGGGCAAAGTCGCCCGAGCACAGCGTCATTCTGGAAGCGAGTAGTTCTTTGTCTGCGGGACGCGATAACCAACAACCGTCTCCGCAGGGAGGAGGAACGGATGAAGTTAGCCTGCTTTCAGACACTAGCCTTGGTGAAGCTGATGCGTATATTGCGGAAGCACAGTCATACATTATTTCAAGGGGACCTCGAGACGATGTATATCGTAACCTTTCGGTCCCGGCGAATGCGGCACCCTTTAGTATACAGAACACGCCAGAGATCGCCTACACAGCGGGTGCTAGGCAAGACACCAGTCCAACCAATGCGGTTCCACCAGCAGTGGGCTACGCCGTACGGCCACGATCAGGACAACAGCAGGACCCGAGCTTCGATATCCGCAGCGTCGGGAAGAGAATATCTAATTTATGGAAGAGGGAGAGTGGGAGCCAACTTACTAATAATCAGAAACGGAATAGTATCCTGAGCGACTCTACAGGTCAGACTACTCGCACGAGTATTTTGACATCTGGGATCTCCGGAGTAGCGGAGGAAGAAGCCACGACGAGTACGAATGTAGTCGCAAGACCAACTATAATACATATACCCAGCAGACCGGGTGAGGTACGGCGAATGAGTAGGAGAGTAGGGGGGCCATCGCCGTTATTCGGTGGCCGGTCGACCACAAAATCGATAGGAAATTTGAGGTTAGGGAGCCAATCACCGGAGACAGTCTTACATCCAAGTCCAGAGCTGCCACCAAAGATAGAAGACGACACAAATCCTTGCGATAGCGATAGTTCGTGGGACCGGCTCGCAAGAAATTCCTTAGGTATCGCATACAAGGACCTCATCACCGAGCCAGAAAGGGCTGTCTCACGCGAGGAATCGCCGACCGATATAGGTCAAGAAGGCAATTGGATAAGCTATGATATAAATCGGAATCTCTTGTCCCCTGGACAATGGCCACAGCAAAACTTATCCATCAATATGGTTGGCATAGCAAGAACCTCGCCCGCTATTATTCCGAGCGAATTACCTCGACTACCACCGACGATGGCATTGGGAAAATCTAAGGGAGAAGAGAAAGGCAAAGCTTCGATAAGACGGCGGCCGTCACAAGCGTCTGAGACTACCGTTCGTAATACGCCATCTACTAGTACGAGATCTGACGTAACCTACTCATCCCGAGACGAGTATTCACACTTCAGCCACGCCCGCAGACAAGGGGCACCTAGCGAGCGTAGAGCTTTAACGTCGCGGACCCCATCACTAGCAAACGGGTGTGCACCGCCACCAACGCGGCCTTTACCACGGACTCCCATACAAACTGGTAGAACGCCACTAGCAGACCGACCCAATCAATCGTATTATGCATCAGCGGGGGGAGACGGACTGGTCTCCGACATTGAAAATATGCCTTCCAAGAACTGGAAGCCGACAAGGAGCATGAAGAGTGCCAAGAGTCTGCGTAGTATCTGGGCAGACGAGGACGAGGATGATGATGATGATGCTTGGGAGGATATACGACCACCAACGACTATTGATGGATGGGACGATGGCGTTGATAGTGACGGGAGCTTTGCGATTTATATTTGATCAATGCGTGATAAGAGAGGAGGATTGATACCTAGGATGTTAAGATATTAATGATATTAATACACCATTTAACTAATGAGTACTTGCTGAATATTAGGACCGTGGGATGATCGTATTAGTAGGACCTAACCTAGATAATCGTGGTTCTAGTAATTTTCTTGCCATCAGATAAGACGGAATTACTCCCTTTGAGAGCTCAAGGTGAGAAACCCTGACCTAGGACAATGACTTGACGGCTGAAGCTGACAGCACCGCGGCATTCAGCTTGTCAGTATCTCACCGTCTGCCTGGGTCCTGCGTAATGTGAAATTTCGGGATCAGTCCGAGGCTGGGGTTGGCCCGTTGGGGGTTACGATTAAGGGTAGCAATCCACAATTCCGGTCCGGGGAGTCCGTGCGGAGTCATTATATAGCTTATTATTGTGATAATAGCTTATTGTGATGTCTATTTCCTAGGAATATTGATAATATATGAATAAGGTATTTGAGAGGTACTCAATTATTCAAAGCTTTCTTTGAGGTGGTATGCTACCTCAACTGTAGAGTTATCAGTATTGATTAGTGGCAAAAAGTAAGACAATGGAGGATGGAGGATGGAGGCCATGTACAATACATAGCTCCGTTGTTCATGTCTCGAGAGCGAGGTAGTAGCAATATCCCCTGCATGGCTTGGGTAGCTTTAACTCTTTGTGGAGTGGATGCCTACCTACCTAATATTGATATTCGGATTGAACTTAAGAAGATTGTGATGATGGTTTGAGTAAAGCGGGTTTGATACATGCAGTGTGTAGGTAGTGTAAAAGATGCAAACCTCTTACGGCTTTAGGCCTGGGCTTTAGGTACTCCGGGGCAGATCTGGTTCGTACCTGTACTTTATACCTGTACTTTACGTTTCTAATTGCTTGCCGTGCTGTTGCCCCATATTTTGCGCGGTAACTAAAGCTATTGCACTTTCCCTCCAGTCCCTCCAGCCTGCAGTGAAACACCGACCAATTGTTTTAGTTTTATATCTTGTGAGAGCACACGCGACACCTACATATACCTAACTCGGTTTGTAATACCTAAAGAACCCTATCGTTTCTATCGTTTTTGTTGGTATGTAGGTAACTCTGCTGCGTCATTAACTTGGTCGCCTTAAGGAGAGTTCCAACGGGGCTGGGTTTAAACATCCGACAAATACCCGAGACGGGTTGTAAATAACCTGGAATCTGGATGCCTACATAGGTACCTTAAGTACATACAACATATGTCTGCATGTGCATACCTAGGGATTTATGTTGGGCAGATAGAGGGAATTGGGCGTTATAGTCTGTTCTCTCAAGATCCTCAGGTTTCTTGAAAATTGTTCTTATCCCGATTCGTAAATGAGATCTTCTTTGATAGCTTATACTAACGCCGACAATGATGTCGTGACGCATGTTGTATTCTTACGACATCATAGTGGCTTTCTAATCTTTTATACGGATCCGTAGTGCACAGGTACAAACCTGGTAGTTTGGGCGACAGGTGTAGATTAAGAGGTTATGTATCTATACTTTAGGTACCTAACCTTTCTCAGTACCTATATTCTTAATAGGACTACCTAAAATTAGGTATGTAGTAAAGAGGGCTTTTGATTAAGTCATCAAGTTGCCAGCTGCTCGCAGTCCAGAGTCGGATTTTTTTCTGCGGGAAACGCAAAACCCCGCCTTGGCCTCGCCTACCCTTTCTCTACCTAACTTAACCTACCTAATCCTGCCTACCGTAACTGACTCTACTCTTCGGCACCATCTGATCACAATTCTTTCGCGCGACGCCTTTGTGCCATTTTTTTTTCCCACACTGCACTACTTACACCATCCCTCCAAGACACTACCCTCGGCCCCTACCGTATTCGTCTACATACCCATTTTCTGTTTCGAGGCGATTGAAAATTTTGAACGATCAACAAAGCAACCTACGATATTGCCCCTCCTTCAGTATATGACCATCCGACCATACTAATCCTACGCGCTGCGGTATAATAAATTCTTTTCGCCATGGGTCAAACCCTTTCCGAGCCTGTCGTCGACAAGGTATGATGATGATGATGATGATATTTTCCTGCTTGCTGCTTGGGGTCTTCAATTGCGCCGTCTTGCACTTTTTGTCCCTCCCCCACGACCAGGCCCACCCCTCCGTGACTCCGCGCCTCCCCGGCCTTATCAAGCAATATCGTAACGATCCGGCCTCGATGCTCACACACAGAGAGTTATTCAGCGCCTAATACTTGAGTAAACCTATACTAACTTGGGGAATTCTTAATAGGCTTCTGACAAAGGAGAAGATGACCGACTGCTGTATGGCGTATCTGCTATGCAGGGATGGCGTATTAGCATGGAGGATGCTCACTGCTCCGTCCTTGACCTCTTGACACCCAAATCCGACGAGGAAAAGAAGGTTCACCCTTCGCGATTATCTTTCTTCGGCGTCTTCGACGGACACGGCGGAGACAAGGTTGCTCAATTCGCAGGCAAGAACATATATGATATCCTTAAAAAGCAAGACACATTTAAGGCTGGACATTACGAGCAGGCTTTGAAGGATACATTCCTTGCGACTGACCGAGCGATACTGAGCGGTATGGATTCTACCTATCAACGATTATGAAATGTCTAAAGTCTAACGCATGCTTAGACCCTCAATATGAGGAGGAGGTATCTGGTTGTACCGCGTGCTGTAGCTTGATTACTGCTGAGAAGATATATATTGTTCGTATTACGATACCCTTATTGGTTGGTGCTCATAGCTAACTTGTGCTACTAGGCAAACGCTGGTGATTCGAGAAGTGTCTTGGGTGTTAAGGGAAGAGCTAAGCCGCTATCCTTCGATCACAAGCCACAGAACGAAGGTTAGTAAAAAAAATTGTCTAGCATTGTCATCTTATACAAATTCGCTAATGCGCCCTGGTTTCATAGGCGAGAAGGCGCGAATTACTGCCGCGGGTGGCTTTGTCGACTTTGGTCGTGTCAACGGCAATCTTGCCCTATCTCGAGCAATCGGAGATTTTGAGTTCAAGAAGAGCGCCGAACTTGCACCTGAGCAGCAGATAGTGACAGCGTTCCCAGACGTAGTTGCGCACGAAATTAGTGACGATGATGAGTTTTTGGTCCTTGCATGTGACGGTACGTTTTTAATCCCGCCTAGGACGTCTGAACAGATATGGCTAACTAGCAAATTAGGTATCTGGGATTGCCAGTCTTCACAAGCGGTCGTTGAGTTTGTTCGAAGGGGCATCGCCGCGAAGCAGGAGTTGGATAAGATTTGCGAGAACATGATGGACAACTGTCTGGCATCTAATTCGGAGACTGGCGGGGTTGGGTGTGACAACATGACAATGATCATTGTGGGCTTCTTAAGAGGCAGAAGTAAGGAGGAATGGTACGAAGAGGTTGCCAGCCGTGTGGCCAAAGGCGACGGACCTTGTGCCCCTCCCGAATACGGTATGCCTTCTTAGAGCCCGGGGTCTCGACATAATTCATAGAACTGACATTGAGACTCAGCTGAATTCCGGGGACCTGGTGTGCATCACAATTTCGACGATAGTGACAGTGGTTATGATGTTGACATGGAAAACAAATCCAAAACATTTGGGATCGGTGGGTACAAGGGCCGCATCATTTTTCTTGGCGATGGTACTGAAGTTCTCACCGACTCGGACGACACCGAGATGTTTGACAACTCGGAAGAAGATAAGGACCTGGCAAGTCAAGTGTCTAAGAGCTCGTCCGGCGAGGTAGAAAGTCGACTACCGCCCAGAGCGCCCTCGCCTCCCCCGCGTACGCCGAAGAAGCAAGAGGACAACCCTCAGGCAAAGCCCAGCGACCCAACCCTAAACAATACCTCGACTGCAACTAAGAAATTCGCAGAAGCCGTGAAGGAGGAGCCCAAAGAGGCGAAACTTGAAGCCGCCACCGCCGCCGCATCTAAAGATTGATTAAGGTATAAGTTTGTCAGGCAGGATAGTGTTAGAATTGCGCCCTTGGGCCTTTCATCCCGCCGGCCTGCTAATTATTGGGATTTACCCCACACACACACCCATGAATTATTAGGGATGGTTACGACAGAGCACCTGAATGAAGAGTTTTGTTTACTTGGCACATGATGGATTACCAGAAGGAAAGGGGGGGAGGATGAGTGCTAGGGCGGATATTCTCCCTTAAAAGGGGGATTAACATGGCCAGAGACACGACACGCGATATGACCACTGGGGGCCACCACGTCTTGCCAACTTCAAGCACGATTAAGGCTTGGGAGTTTTCTTGACGAACTGCATTGGCGGCTATTCAGAAACCTCTTGACAGCTGAGGTGTGCTCCGTATGCTATAATAACCGCGAGAACACTCATATGCATCATCGAATTCTATATGTTTTCTTAGGAGTGCGGAATTAGCACGTTCATAAAAATGCATTAATGCCATCCAGAAACTGAATTGCCCGTGTTGTAGTGTTATTACGAATGTAAAATTCTCCTCTTTTTTTTTTGTGTTTTTATTTTTCCTTGATGTAACTACTTTTCCTTAGCGTAGCCGCACCCGGGCGATGTAAATATGAGATATGATATATGAGGCTAGGTACGTTCCGTATTGTGTAACAGGTAGTACATAGGTAATTGGAACCTTCTTTTAAGCATGAAGGCGGATTAAGAAGAGCCGAACAGCCGGCCGGGTTCCACCTCGCGGGAAATCAAGGTGCCCACTTGAAGATAAGCTCTAATAAAATTTGTTGCGCGCCGCATGTCATTGCATCTACAATAACCCTCCTACAAAGGGACCAGGCCCAACATAGCAGAGCATGCTATATTTATAGCTCATGTCCCTGGGGATCAAATCACTATGGAGAGCTCGAAGTTACACAACTCGTGTCAGTGGGCTCTCCCTGATTCCCAGGGAGCAGCGCAATCCATTCCACCAGGAATCAAATCTACTTCGATGGATCTCGACTACGACTACACATAGGGATACGAAAACGGAGCTCACAAGCAAGGATATTTTGAATGAACTTTTAAAGGGAAAATCGCAATCGTTCTTTATTAGAGCGTTGCGCAGACGGGACATAAAGAAGAGGTCCAACTCCCAACCGAAGGCACCCGAACTTGTGAAGAGACCAATTCGATATCCCACCAAGGAAGAATCGCTCCGCAGCTTGCGCAAGCATCGAGACAGCGCTGCGAGACAACATCTATACGACAGTGCGCGTGAAATCTCCTCGAAACCTTTGAGCAGTTGGCATTCGACTTTCGATTTCATGTTACGGCACACAATCGACATCAGAGAAATATTATATTTTCAACTTATCATTGGGAAGGGTATAGCAGCCGAAGCTCGTGCATTACTCTCGGAACCAGATACACATATTTCCCAGATCTGCCGTAGGAATGAAAGCCTCGTCCGAATCGAAGAAATAAGTCCCGAAAATGGCGAACTTGTTCTTAGTCTGTCCGGCTCCGAAGACTCGGTCCGAAAGTCACTTCTGGATATTATAGGGGTAGTAGGCAAGATCACCGCTGTTAGGATGTCTGATCCAGCCCTAGAATCCCTGCTGTTAGATGTATGGAAGGGTACAACAGGAAAGCGACCGGAAATTCGACTCTTGGGGGGTGGAGAGGTTGCGGTCGACGACAGGACATTGACTGTGCAAACCTCCTTCTCGAATTTTGGCAAGTATAAGAGTTACCGCCTGACTAGGCGGGCTGACGAAATCAACCGTCCTACGGAATGGACCCAGGATTCCTTTGAGAAATACGTTGCTGCTTTAGTCCATGGGCAGATTCCACCGCATCTGGCTCGGTCATTATACCCAGAATTTCCCGACCATCAGCAAACTGTTGTTTCTCTACTGACCGAGCTGTTCACCTCGGAACATACTAGATCAGCCGCCTCGTTGTCTGCTTTGAAAATGGCTATCAATTTCATCGAATCGAGAGGCGGCGGTTTTCGTCAAGCATCCCGGACTATCTTCAACCAGGCGGAAATGCTCAGCTTCTCCATGGATGCTGAGATATTCAATATATTCCTCATTAGCGCGTCAAAGGCCGGCGATCTTGATGGTTTTAATAGCATACTAAGGGCAATGGTCCGGAAAGGTTACGCCCCACAGGGCCGTTCTTGGGTCGCCTTCATGGAGATGATACAAAGTCCGACTCTCAAACGTTATATTGTTGGGAGGCTGAAGACAAAAGGGCTTAACCGCAACCCGTCGATACTTCGCGCAATAGGTAGACAGATGGCAATCATCGATCTTGAACGTCATATTTCGACGGAATTTGATGTGCGGACGTTCGTCCGCGAACAAGATAAACGATACGGTTCCAGATGGCTGGACACCATTACCGTCAATAGGATCATAGACGTGCTCGGAGCGCATAAGAATTTAGATGCTTGCAATGCCTTGTTGGATCTCATCTATACCACGGGCATCACATCACCCAACGCCATCACACTAAACACAATGTTGACCCATACGAAGAGTTTCGCACAGCAAATAGCCATCTTCAAGTCGATATTAACGCGCTGGCCAAGGCTAGCGCCGCACGCAGATACTTATAATCTGCTATTTAGTGCAGCTTGGAAGAGACGGTACCCTAACATGCTTCGAGTGATATTAAGATCTGCGGCTCTTGCTCGTCGCACAACACCTAAATTGCGGTACACCCTGACGAAACTTCTTACCCAAAGGCACCATTCGAGCACCCGGTGGGCTTTCTTGAAGACTTGGGAAGACGTAATCTTCGGGCAGGCAGAATTGGCGGAGATGCGGGCGATTCATTCGGATGACCTCAAGGTGGAGCACATGATACATAAATATGTCGAGCAGACACAGGGCATGGAATTAGAGGCTTCATTTTTAGATAATCTCGAGAAAGCGCTTGAGATGGATATGATGATTCATCAATTTCGAAAGAATGGGTTACTCACAACCCCGTCGGCATCGGTGAGAGAGTCACTCTCAGTCCCATTACCATTGTCGAAGCAGGAAGTTCGAACCGGGCTTTCAGACTCTCGAAGTAATGTCCATAGTTCTTCGCGGGGAATGATTCGCGCGGCACAAGAATAGGGGTTACGAGCCTAATGGTTACGAGAATATTGCTAGGAAGTCTCGACATGTTGTAGACCGGGGGAATATTCAAGATCTACACGTGGTGGCTACTGGGTGTTGATTTGATGTCTATACCTGATACTGTAACATTACAAAAAGGGGACTAGGGGAAAAAAGGACTGGATAGATAGATAGATAGATAGATAGGGGTTGTGTGTACTAACGATGACGATCTATATGTATGTATGTATATACGATACCTGTTATAGGCTAAGTTTGCCTATAAGGAAGAATCAACTCAAAGATATAGACTTGGACTCGTATACTCACTTTTAGTGAAACTAGATAGATAAACAGGGAGGGTATAAGTGGGCACCTGTAGCGCCTGTAGGGTATTAGCAGCGATATCAAAGCCATCGATAACCGTTCTCTTTCTTTTTTTTACGTATTATGGTAAGTACCTTCTACTTCTAGTACAGCCAAATTATTTTAGCTCTTAGCTCCAAGCTTCTCATTGGAAATAGGTACCTCTCATTGAAATATTTACCTAAGCTGTCAATGTACATATACCACTTATACCCAGCTGCAAATTCGCAATATCCCGTCTTCCATTCGCCCCTCCAATATTCAAATGCCCCGCACTCTTCTCACGCGACTATCAAGTCCACTGACGCATCTGAGAACCTTGGCATCGTCTTCATATATAAGACAAATAAGACATATAAGACCGGCTGTTCCCTCCTCGCTTACTTTCAACTATCCTGTAACAAGAACATACCTGACCTCCGCCCTTCGAGCTCACCAATCCCGCAAGATGGCGCCCCAAATCGACGGCTTCTTTTCTCAGGTCGACTCCCTGTCGTCCCACTTCATCGAGCGTCTCAGCAAAGCCGTCGCTATCCCTTCTGTCTCCTCGGAGGCTGCCCGCCGGCCTGATGTCGTCCGCATGGCACACTTCCTAGCCGACGAGCTCAAGACGCTAGGTGCCAGTGTCGAACTCCGGCCCCTCGGAAAGCAGCCCGACAACCCGGCGCTCGACCTTCCCCCCGTAATCCTCGCTCGGTACGGGAGCGATAAGAACAAGCGCACTATCCTCGTCTATGGACATTACGATGTGCAGCCAGCTGAGAAGAGTGACGGTTGGGCCACCGAGCCCTTCACTCTTAGCGTCGGCGAGGACGGCCGCATGTTCGGACGTGGTAGCACGGACGACAAGGGCCCGGTCCTGGGCTGGCTGAACGCCATCGAAGCACACCAGAAGGCCGGCGTAGATTTCCCCGTTAACCTACTTATGTGCTTCGAGGGCATGGAGGAGTACGGATCTGAGGGTCTAGAGGAGCTTATCCAGAAGGAGGGCAAGGGCTACTTCGCCGATGCCGACGCTGTCTGCATCAGCGATAACTACTGGCTGGGTACCGAGAAGCCGTGCTTAACGTACGGTCTACGGGGTTGCAACTACTACGGCATAGAGATCTCGGGTCCCGGTGCGGACCTACACAGCGGAGTGTTCGGCGGCACTGCACAAGAGCCTATGACAGACCTGGTGCGCGTACTGGCTAGCCTAGTGGACACGCACGGCAAGATCCTGATCCCGGGTATTATGGACCAGGTAGCTCCCGTCACGAAGGAAGAGGAAACGCTGTACGATGGTATCTCGTTCACGATGGAAACGTTACAAGAGTCTCTAGGTTCCAAGACGACTATCTTCGAGGACACCAAGTCGACCCTGATGGCGCGGTGGCGATACCCATCGCTTTCGATTCACGGCGTTGAGGGCGCATTCTCGGCTCCGGGAGCCAAGACGGTGATCCCCGCCAAGGTTATCGGCAAGTTCTCCATCCGTATCGTGCCCAACATGGAGATCGAGAAGGTGAACGAGTTAGTAGACAAGCACGTCAAGGATACATTCGCAAAGCTCGGCAGCAAGAACAGCCTCAAGGTGTACCCCATCCACACGGGTAACTGGTGGGCGGCCAGCCCCAACCACTGGAACTTCCGCGCCGCTAGCAAGGCCGTCGAAAGAGTGTGGGGTGTGCAACCGGATTTCACGCGCGAGGGTGGCAGGTAAGCCGTCAAGCCCCTTTTTTGCTCTTATATCCTTTGCCTTTCGTCGACATCATATGAGCAGAGGAATAAGTACACTCTTCCAAGCCCAAATTTAGAGCTAACGTGTCAACATAGTATCCCTATTACCCTAACATTTGAGCAATCCACGGGCAAGAACGTGCTGCTACTACCTATGGGCAGCTCCACGGATGGCGCGCACTCGATTAACGAGAAGCTGGACAAGAAGAACTACATCGAGGGCATCAAGCTGCTAGGTGCGTACCTGCACTACGTTGCGGAGGAGCCTCAGCAGTAAGTATCGAGTTTTGGACCAGGTAAGGTTCCTAAGTGTAGAGTAGTAGCTACGACGTGACGCGTAATAAGACGCGATGAATAAGAGATGATACCATGATGAAGAAATACGAGACGGGAACAATTAAAGTGAAGTGAAATAGGGGGCAGAGTGTTGAATGAATCGTGATTCTACATGTGGGTGAGTATCCTTCCCCTAGATTACCTATATATAAGTAAGTAATAAAATGATGTAAAACTCAATATCTCACTATACAATGATGATGGTTATAGTCCTGAATATACATGTCTATGTCCGACGTATCCGTATATGATAAATCTATATATCTATTCACATGGCTACTACCCAGTATATCCACACACCCATCATCCCCTTATTATATTCCCATCCCCTAACCCCCTCCTTCTCCCACACCATCCAGCATTCAGGCTTCACTCGCTCGCTCACTCACTCACTCACTACGACCCTCCCCCTCGCCGATAAACTCCGACTCCCGCGGCCGCCCCCACACATCGCACGGCAGGAAACGCCAGGATCCGGCGTGCTTCGGGGACAGGCGGTCGGCGACGGCGTGGAGCGCGGGGACCGAGAGGCGCGGCCAGACGCCGCCGTCGTGGGTGCGGCCGTCGTAGGTGATATCGCGCAGGCGGACGATCATGGGCAGCGAGGTAAAAGGGTCCAAGGAGGCGCTGAAGGTCGTGGTCGCTGTGAGGTGGGTTTTGGTCAGGAGGGTGGATATCGCGGGGCTGGTGGGGGGTTTGGGGGGGGAGAGGGTCTGCGGCCGGGAGGAGAGGGATGAGGCGGGGGTTGAGCGGCGGGATGGGGGTTGGGTTGTGGTTGCTGATGAGGAGGGGGAAGGGGAAGGGGAGGGAGATGGGGATGGGGATGGGGGGAGGGAGTCGAGGGTTAGGCAGAGGTTTTGCATTTGTTGGAGGAGTGGGATTTGGTTGTGGAGGTGAGGGACGAGGGTGCTGGCGAGAGTGGATAGGAGGGATTGTAGTGTTGAGGGGGAGTAGGAGGATGGGTCGGCGTGCGTTGCGGCGGTATGGTCTAGTATGCTCTGCAAGAGCGCCGGTATATTTCCCTCTCCCTCTCCCACCTTCTCCTTTCCCTTCCCATCTCCATTCCCATTCCCATCCCCCATCCATCCCCCCTCACCCTCACCCTCAGCAGTACAAGCCAAAGCCGGCCTCCTCAGACCCCCCCTCTCCAACCCCAACGCGTCCTCAAACTTGGGTATCATAACGCCCTCCTTGTGGCTATGGTAGTCCCTGACCCAAGCAGCCCACACGTGTGCCAGAAAGCAGAAATCAGCCACGTCCGCGGGGCTCCGTATATACGGAGCTTGCAGATATAGCGCGTTGAGGCCGCGCAGCATCGCGTTGTGCGTGTGCGCTACCTCGTTTGCGATGTGTTGCGCTGGGTGTCCGGTCTGGGTGAAAATATGTGTTGTTAGTATGTATATATATATATATGTTGGCTTGGATGGGTATGGGCGTATATATAATAGAGTAGATAGGGAGGTAGATAGGTATATAGAGGAAAGGAGCAAAACATACACGTCGAGTCCGAGACGGCGGCTCGATAAGTGGCCATGGCTCGTCTGCCCATTGTTTGCTAGCCGCTATCTTGCCCTTGCCCGCTAGAAGCCGGGAATCGAGTGTCGACGTAATCCTAGCAGGAGAAGGACGCCCGGTTCCTAGGGGATGGGTGCCCATTGTTATTGTTTGAGAGAGGGTCATCATGTATTATATTAATGTGTTATTAAGATAAGTCTTCAGTAGTAGTAATAGTAGTAATAGTAATAGTAGCAGTAGCAGCAGAAGTAATAGCTTATTTAGAATAATACCAGCCTCAAACAGTTCACCACGAACAGAAAGGGATATATAATCTGTCATATAGACAGGTCGTCTTATGTAGGTATGTAGGTATGAACGAACCAACCCCTTCCCTCAATCCTCCTCTCTCTACCTAATATAGGATGCTTATCTCCGCAAAGGAATCTAGATCGCAACACAAAGCACACAATATTCCCGCAAGCTTCGGTCGTATCAGCTACGAGGCGATGTCAGCCCAGCCCGAAATACGACGGTCTCGAACGCCATCTGAAATTCCCTACGTCCCATTATTGAAAATCACTGCAGCCACACAATTTGATATATGACGTTGTTGTGTCTAGGGTACCCGGTATTTATGTATTTATAATTCGCCTCCTTATTTATTATTTATATTATTTTGCTGACTCGTAGTTCGGGGATAGCACCGCATTGGCGCTTCTTCTCGAAGTATGTAAGCCAACCCCCCATGCGCCCCCCCTCTTCCCCCCCGAAAGGCAAGCAGCTAGCCTTTGAATTAATAAGCCGCCAAAAACTTCAAATAGTAGACGATAGTTCGTCGGGGCTGATTTCGATATATTATGTAGTGCGACGTATTTATCTCCTGCCCAACCGATAACACCTTACGAATAACATCCTAGATAGAAAGATAGAAAAAAACCGTTTGCTCCCGAACCTCATGCATAACGCTGTGGTATGTTTATGATAAAGCAGATGGAGCCTATTATGGAAGCTCGTCGTCCTCTCTAACGCCCCTTGGACCACTATTGTCGAGACCTGTCCAGTCACCATCCCATCCTTTCCCGCAGTCCACAGCACCTCTGGACTCACCACTTTTAGCCATCCCTTTGATATCGCTCCAATATTCCAATCTTCGGACTTCCTCGTCGGCGTGCCTAATAGCTGCGGCCAGATTTTCGGCCTTTTGTTGCGTAGCCAGAGACGTCCCTTTCTGTCCTTTCTGTCCTTTCTGTCCTTTATCCACTTGGTCGTTGTGCAGTTGTATGAGCCGTGCTAAGAGAAGCTTCCGGGTTGTTTGGAACACAAACAAAGACATAATCTTGTGCATGTGGTATTGTAACTCCTGCAAATCGTCTGTGCAATGCTTGATGTAATTTTCTATGGCCTCGAGCTTCTCTCGGTCAATGCGGCACTTCCTCAAAATAAAAATCAGCTCATCGGTTGTCGTTATGTCCACCATAGCCATTGCGCCATCCTCATCCCGCAAAATATCTCTCAATTTCCGGAACGTTTCTTGGGAAATTCGAGCTGCTATTTGATTGATGATCGTTCCTCCTGGCTCCATCCTCGCGGGGTTTATTGTGAAATATTCATAGCTGCTCATATGCGGGTCGTTCATATGATATTCGTGGCGCTTTTTTATTCGCCTTCTAATCCACGCTCTCCTCCGTACGAATGAATTGTACCACTTAGGGCCATGCCATGAAAACTTGTTAGAAAACATAAAAGAGTATTCCCAGCCGTCACTGTCGGTCGGTATAGTCTCATCCCGGTTTATGCGCCACTCGGGCCAAGCCCATTCCCAGCTCGGGTCCGGCACTTGGGCTGTATGTATGTCTGTCATGCTCGGCTTGTGGAAACGGTTGGTCCAAGGTGGGGGGTCTAAGTTGCCCAACGCCGCGGAAGAAAATCGAGGGATGCCACAAAAGAACGCCCCGCGCTGGTTCTCCCACAGTATGTCTATTGCTGTTTCAACCTTTTTAAACGGACGCGGACGCGGACGGGGCTTGTTTTTGTTTTGGCTAGGAGTCTTCTTAAGGCCATTCTTTTTCGAGATAGGCCCATTCCCGGTCACCGAGCCGTCGGCATCTTGCGCAAAAGCTTGAGATGTATCACCTCTGCCCGAAGGACCCGCCTCGTCGGGGTCCCTCTTTTTCGGTTGGACATCTCCGGATTCGGGAGGCTGGGTAGACGGCTCAGCTCTACTATCGGATGGAATTAGGGGTTGGCTTGAGATAGGTGAGTCGATATTATCGCCTGTTTCGGAGGTAGGAGACCGAGGCTCCTCGATTGGCGGCGAGTGGTCAACCAAACTAATTTCATGATCAATCTCGCTATCTTTCAACGGAGGAGCGCGGCGAGAGCTGCGCAGATGCGCGTTGGTTTTGGGCATTGTTCAATACGGACGAATCCAGCATAATGGAAGCTGTCGTCTAATTGACAATGGCATAAGAGCGGAGTGGATAGGAAATCACCATTTGTATGGGGTCCTGACTAAGAAGCACAACCGATGTGCGTCTTACCAGAGCGTACCTGTGAGATAGAAGATGACAATTATTGGTGGTGAGAGGGGAAGTAAACCAAGGTTAGGTAGGCTAAGAAGCTAAAATAAAATGTCTGCGGAGGGTAGCTACATAGCATCGATGACGAAGGAGGTTAAAAACAAGCTGCAAGTTGGATGGAAATTGGTATTGGTGGAGCTATAACGGATAGCAAGTTATAGGTAGCTTCATGCAGCTCTAAGCTCGCTGAGCCTCAAGCATACAGGTATACAGATTACGCGAATCCTTGGCTTTTGCTTGAATAAGCTATGTATGTACAATACTAAGCTTCCAAGTAGCGCAGACATCCAAAATGGGATTTCACGATACTAGGAATGTAGTTGATGATGTAATTGGAGAATAACTAATCCATAATACCTACACTAAAAACCGTACCCATGCAGCCATGCAGAGAATTCGAAGCAAGGTCATCACTGGAGCACTGTCGCGCTTCGAATGTGGGGTAGGTGTTGAACTACACAGTTACCTTAGTAGGTACATAACAAAACTAGGCTGGGCAGAGAAACTTGAAGAGAACTTGTCTGTACCGCTATATTCAAAGCTTATACTAAGTTTCTCCCAAGTCTCTCATCATTGTTAGGTACACCTTCCTCTCCACCCGCATTCGAGATGAGCTACGTCATGTACCTTAGCGGGAATTATAGGGACCTTATAAGGCTTGCGCAGGCCTTATATTTCAGGCAACCCCTGCTGGGTTTAAAACCCTGTGATAGGCTATAAGCCTGGTGCGAGGCATCTAAGCCTTGCAGATCAAATAAGCCTTGTAAGCAGTCCACTATAAGTGCCCTGTAAATTATCCCCTAAAGCCACTGTAAATAATCCACTAGATCAACTGGAAATAGATGCCTGAACCGCCTGTATAGCCTGTAATTCAATTGCGGCTGCACGCATGCGAGTAGTCGCAACAATACGTACAGTCGCGAAAAGATAAAAAATACAGGACCAGCTATTACGCTGATACCTTGCAATTGCTTGTATTTGAGGCTATTCCCAGGCGTTTACAGGTATCTACTTATTACGAAAGACATGTCAGTTTACTGGATTGAATGTGAGATTACTACTATTACGTGGGTACTATACCACTTGACTACGAGGGCAATTGATTACAAGTCTACGGGCTTACGTATTACGCGATAGATTGTGTGCTTGCTATTGTGGTAAATATATCTCGTTCTTGCCATACGGGGCATTCAATTGAATTGTATGGCTTCAGGGGAGTCAGGGGATTACAGGCGTTGTTCGCCAGTGAGTGTGGTGATATAGCGATTTTAGGTGGCTTTGGTGGCCTCGGGTGGTGGCCTTAGGTGGTTGTAGTGGCCTCAGGCATTAATATCACTAAAACCTGCTGTAATGAAATAACAGTGGTTACAGGGGAAAATAATGCTGGAATGCCCTGTATTCCAGTCGGATGTATCCCTCTACTAAATTTGTATGGGAATATACACCCACTTATAAGCCTTGCAGGAAAACTAACCCTTGCAGGATTGCTAACCCTTGCACAAGGCTTGTCACTGTAGTTAGGCCTGTACAAGGCATGCGCAAGGCTTATAAGTTCCCTATAATTCCCGCTAAGGTATCTTGTGACAATGGAGTAACTACCTAGCAATAGCCTAGCAATTATAGCAGTAGAGTACCTAACAGCAACCCTCTGAACGAATCGCCATGAGGTAGGTAGATGGTTGGGAAGCACTTAGAGCCTAAGTCGTATGTTGTATGTTGTATATATTGCACCAAAGTAGTGATTCGTCGTATTGTCGTAATAAATTGATTCTCGTCCCTCCTTAAACCGTTTCAGTCCAATAACTTCCAATAACTTCAACTTTTATCACCAACTCCTATACCCCTTACAAAACTTATAAGATCCCGACATCTGGATATTTCTTGATATCCGACTCATCGATTATCGATTAATATAGTTGAACTTACCTACCTGCACACCAAGAAACCTATAATGTCGTCGAAATCCAGACTACCCCTCGTCCTTGGCCTGACGGCTGCAGGTGGTATTGGTTACTACCTATACAGCGCCGGCGGTAACACGAATGTCGCTCAGAAGAACGCTCAAGGTATGGCGCACTCAAGAGCTCCTATCTATATATCGTCATGGATTACGATAATTCCCGCAATATCTCGATACCATACATATGTCAACTAACACATATATACAGCCGACGCTCACAAAGTTTCTGCCCAATTCAAATCAGACCTACCCGGTCGAGGAGAACAGGCTAAGAAAGACGCCGAGAAGTACGGTGCCGAAGCGGGTGCAAAGGTCGACAATACTGTAAGCACAAGTTGTACCTCGCAACGTTGTTTCGGCGGTTTCTAATCATTCTTTGATAAACAGATCCACAAGACAGAAGCTGAACTGCGAAAGGCTGCTGCTGAAGCCGAGGCCTACGCAAAGGAAGCCAAGGCCGCTGCTCTAAAGAAGGTGGACGAGTTCGACAAAAAGGTCGAAACCGAAGCGTCCAAGGCCAAGAGCGGTATCTCTAGCTGGTTTGGCGGAAGCGGAAAATAAACAAACAGGTCGGTGGCGGCTCGTTGTTCTGGGTTAGATGACATGGGATTAAGGTCAGGTTTGACGACGAAGGATCATCCAAAATGGCCAAACGGATTGTTCTGTACGATTGACGTTTATACGCATCATAATAAATATCCTCATTGCCGGCCCTCTAGTGGGCAGCATATCAAGTACCAAACTTTCGCTTGCCGTTCAAGTCCCCCTACAAAGCCGTAACTCCTAATGCCCTATGCGTATGAGCCGTGATCCCCTAAAACGCCCAACTATCGTAAATCATATGCGGTATGTGCTTTGCCGCGTAACCTAACGGATCAAGAGAAATGGATTCCTTCTGCGTTAAAAGCCGCTAGGAGGCGCAAGAAATCATTTTCGTCGCACTTCCCACTTCTCTTGTCAGCAAGCTCGGTCACGTCTTCTAGGACCTTTCGAACTTTTTCCCTAACCAATAAGGCTACTCTCGTCTTCTTCCGCTTACTTTTTGTCTTCGGTACCTCGGTCTTCATAGCCTCCTTAAAGAACGACGGCGTGTCGTCATCTACTCCGTCAACATCCATGATACCACCCCACTCCTCTTCGTCGCCAGCGCTTGGCGGCACGTTCTCGTCGACCTCCATTTCCTCATTGTCGTCCTCTTCCTCGTCCGCAACGGTATCATCCACAGGGATATCATTTGTGGCGCACCAGAGCCGATAATTTCGCTCTAACATGGAGAGAACTTCCTTGTTTCCGAGCCACGAAGCTCTTAAGGTCTTATTTCTTCGGTTGAAACACACTCGCAACATACCGTCCCACTCCTCGAAGCTAATATTCGGACGTTCCGAGCCGAGTTTAGGCTCGATTCGGACGACGCTAGAATCGACTTGGGGAGGAGGCCGGAAGTTATTCCTTCCGACTTTCAAAATGTGTGTTATACCTGTGATAGCTAGAGTCAATATTGCTTCCTAAACGTAGACTAGAGATAACTTACGCGCCCAGAATTGCGCATTGACCGATAGGCGACAGTAGAGGGGATCGCCTGGTCGGGCTGTAAGGCGTAGTGCGAATTCGCGTTGGAACATGAGAACACATGTCCTTGGTGGGTTCGGAAGAGAAAGAAGCTTGAATACTAAAGGCGACGAGATCTGGTAGGGGGTATTCGAGATGCACACGTCGAAAGGGGGAAGTGTAGTCTTGATCACATCTCCTAAGAGAACTTCTAGTCGTTTCTGCTCCGGCTTTCCTTGTACACGCTTTGTTGTTTCGGCAGCCATTCGGGGGTCCATTTCTACCGCCTATTCGCGATTGCGATTAGTTCAATCATCTCCCTACGCAAGTGATAACCAATGAACTATCACTATGTGAACCTACAATGACTTTCTTGGCCTGCTCGAGGATCTTGACTGTTAAATTTCCCGTACCAGGACCAACTTCAAGAACAGTGTCTGTGGGTTTGAGATATGCCTTTGCAACTATGCTCTCTGCGATACCCGGATTCTTTAGAATGTGTTGACCAAAGTCCTTGCTGAATTTGAAGACATTGTTCGCCGCTGCGCTCTTGGCCGGTCGCTCGTACGGAGTCGAGTTTGCGCCTCCGCGTTTGGATGTCTTTGCCTTGCCCATTTTCGTGAATGCGCCGAGTGTCGATTAAGGGTAGAGGGGCAGAGGGGCAGTGTGATCCGCGAACTTTCGTTACTTTTTTTTTGTAGATTTTTGGTGTTGCGTGGCTAGGAGTGGCTTGTTATCGTTATCGAATTTCTTATCCTTATCTAAATCCCAGTAACCAAGACTCACCCCTGTTAGCGCTATGCCGGGTCCGTTGCTTTGGTTCTTAGATTGTACTTTCTTATTGATTCTTATTGTAAATCTTTCTTTCAACTATATACAAATCTGTATACAAATCGAATAACAACCAACAACTTGGAAACGACATCTCTTCTACTGCAAGTGTCGGCACACTTGGCCGCATATCATCCTTCGTATTGATACTTAACTTGTTTTAACGAGAACGGTATTCCCATCAGTCTGACACTACTTAAGACCAGCCGATATGACGGGGCGACGCGATTTCCTAAGCCAGCCGGCGCCGGAGAACTATGTCGCAGGTTTAGGACGTGGTGCTACAGGTTTTACCACACGTTCGGATTTGGGTCCAGCGAGAGAAGGGCCTTCTGAAGATCAAATCAAGGAAGCTCTTGCGAAACGTGCAGCGCAGCTAGGATTTGGTGGCGAGGCCGCAGGCAAAAAAGACGAGGAAGATGACAACGACGACCGATATCAAGATCCTGACAACGAGGTCGGCCTCTTCGCCGGCGGGGTTTACGACAAAGATGACGACGAAGCAGACAGGATATACCGAGAGATAGATGAAAAGATGGACAAGCGCCGGAGGGCAAGAAGGTTAGTTCTTCCCATTCAAGTTCCCAATTTATCCCCAGCTAGTTCACAATTCATCCCGAACTTAGCTTGAGCAGATTACCGACGATTGTTTTACGCGAATAGGGAAGCCCGCGAAAAGGCAGAACAAGAAGAGTACGAGCTCAAGAACCCCAAGATCCAACAACAGTTCGCCGACCTGAAGAGAGGGTTGGAAAGCGTTACTGAAGAAGAATGGGCGGCGCTACCCGAAGTTGGAGACCTTACCGGAAAGAATAGGCGGAGCAAACAAGCGAGACAGCAGCGCTTCTACGCCGTTCCGGATAGCGTATTGGCCGCCGCGGGCAGTTCCGGCGAGCTTGGGAGCACCATAGTTGAAGACGGTGCAGCGTCGACGGCCGGTGGCTCAAGCAATCAGGATGGGACAATGACAAATTTTGCCAAGATCGGACAGGCCAGAGACAAAGTCCTTCAGGTCAGGCTTGACCAAGCCTCCCAGAGCGGAACTACCACATCGGGAAGCGCCACGAGCGTCGATCCTAAGGGTTACCTAACGAGTTTAGCAAAAACCCAACTACCAGAAAGCGCGGCTCAGGTGGGCGATATCAACAGGGTCAGGGAACTACTCGAGTCCGTTATCAAGACTAACCCGAACAATGGCCCCGGTTGGATCGCTGCCGCTCGTCTTGAGGAACTGGCTGGTAAGATTGTAGCAGCGCGGAACGTTATCGCGCGAGGTTGCGAACACTGCCCTAAGAATGAGGATGTCTGGCTCGAAAGCATCCGACTTAACGAAGGACGCAACGCCAAAGTTATTGCGGCACAAGCAATTCATAAGAATAATCGATCGGTGCGGTTATGGGTCGAAGCGATGAAATTAGAAGATGACACTAGGTCGAAGAAACGAGTTATACGACACGCTTTAGACCATATTCCCGAATCGGAAGCCTTGTGGAAAGAGGCTGTCAACCTGGAGGAAGACCCAGACGATGCTAGATTGCTTTTAGCGAAAGCTACAGAGCTTATCCCGCTGTCCGTGGACCTGTGGCTAGCATTAGCTAGGCTTGAGAGTCCCGAGAACGCACAGAAAGTACTGAACAAAGCTCGTAAGCATTGTCCGACGTCCCACGAGATTTGGATAGCTGCTGCGAGATTGCAAGAGCAGCTAGGACAAGGAGAAAAGGTCAACGTCATGAAGCGTGCTGCACAAGTCCTCGTCAAGGAGTCCGCGATGCCAAAGCGGGAGGAATGGATAGCAGAAGCAGAAAAGTGCGAACAGGAGGGTGCGATAATCACATGCGGCGCAATCATTCGGGAAACCCTCGGTTATGGTCTCGACGAAGATGATGACCGCAAAGATACTTGGCTCGATGATGCACGTGGGAGTATCAATCGGGGCATGTATGAAACGGCTCGAGCTATATTTGCATACGCGCTTCGAGTATTTCCCACGAGCAAAACAATTTGGTTAGCAGCCGCAGATCTCGAAAGGAACCACGGCTCGAAAGAAGACCTGTGGCAGGTTCTCGAGAAGGCTGTCAATGCCGTGCCTCGGAGCGAAGTGCTGTGGATGATGCTTGCAAAGGAGAAATGGCAAGCGGGAGAGATCGATAATGCACGTCGCGTTTTGGCGAGAGCGTTCCAGCAGAATCCAAACAATGAAGATATTTGGTTAGCAGCGGTTAAACTCGAGGCTGAGAACGGCCAGATCGACCAAGCACGAGGCTTGCTAAAGACAGCCCGGCAAGAGGCTCCGACCGATCGTGTCTGGATGAAGAGCGCCGTCTTTGAACGGCAACTGGACGACCTTGATGCAGCACTAGATCTCGTCCAACAAGCGCTCAATCTCTTCCCCGCCTCTGCCAAGCTCTGGATGATGAAGGGTCAAATTTACGAAGACTTGGGCAAACCACTACAAGCGCGCGAAGCCTACAGCACGGGGGTAAAGGCAGTACCTAAATCGGTCCCTCTGTGGCTACTCTACTCCCGCCTAGAAGAGAAGCTCGGTCAGCTACCCAAGGCCCGTTCGGTTCTCGATCGCGCGCGCCTCGCCGTGCCCAAATCCGCGGAGCTATGGTGCGAGTCGGTGCGTGTGGAGAGGCGGGCGCAAAACACAAAACAGGCCGAGTCGCTGATGGAGCGAGCGCTCCGCGATGTACCCAAAGCGGACCAAGGTATCTTATGGAGCGAGAAGATATGGCATCTAACAACGCGGCCGCAGCGGAAACCCCGCGCTCTCGAGGCCATCAAGGAGGTGGATAACGACCCGGCGCTGCTGGTGGCCGTAGCGCGCATCTTCTGGGGCGAGCGACGACTCGAGAAGGCTCAGAACTGGTTCGAGAAAGCGCTTGTGAGGGACTCGGACTTGGGCGATAGCTGGGCGTGGTACTACAAGTTCCTGCTCGAGCACGGGACGCAGGAGAAGCGCGAAGAGGTCGTCAGCAAGTGTATTAGCGTCGAGCCCCGGCACGGCGAGGTCTGGCAGGCGATAGCGAAGAACCCAAAAAATGCGCGCAAGGGCGTCGAGGAAGTTTTGAAACTTGTTGCTGCTGAGTTGCACTAGAGGTGTGCGATTCCCTGGGTTGGGTATCTGGGTAGTATATGTATTAAATAAGTTAATTTATTGTTAATGAAGTAAGTGGCTTGGCCAGCTTTAAGTAAACTTCGTGAACCGCGATTTCATCTTCTGTCTTCCCATTTCTACCATAAAAGCGTCCAGGTAAATAGTGAAATTTTGAACTTGATTGGTATCCAAGTACTTACCACATAGCATGTTCAACTCGTATAAAACATTCAATCATATCCGTCATTATACATCTTCACAGCTTCATCAAGGGTTCCCAGAAGAACATGACCAACCAGCCAGTCAGCCCATCAACGCCTAACCCACCCATCCATTCCATTCCATTCCATCTATTATCCCGCAGACGCTTACCCGAAGTATAGAGATATCGGAAGGTGATGGTACAGCTGGTAATCGAACTCCTGGCTCCACTCCAGCACAAAGAACTTGGTAAGCGCCACAACAGCTTCGGCGTCCAGTTCTACTTCTACTTCTTCTACCTCTAGGGTCTCGGGAAACCCCGCCGACCGTTCCCGTTCCCTTAGCCGCCAGAAGCTCACCTCGTCCAGCCTCTCCAGACCCCAGCCCGAGCCCGCGTACACGGCCGCCGCGTCCGTCACCACCCGCACCGAGTCCCCCGAGTTGCCGCCCCCCGAGAGCACCGCCGCCGCCGCCATCGGCCCCATGCTGCTGCGCACGAACTCCCGATCCCACCCCCGAGAGCGGAATTCCTCGGGCCGTTGCGCTACCGTCTCCCGCAGGAGCGAGGCGAGGGTCGTGCGGTGGCGGTCCATGGTCGGTTTGCCGTAGGCGAGGAGCATGTCCCGCAGCCCGCGGTGCATGCTCCAGGATAGATGCGTCCAGGGCAGGCTGTCGAGAGCTCGTCGTAGAACGTCTTGTTCGGCGGGGGGGATGATCATGGCGACGGTGCGGTCGCCGGTGTCTTTGCTCGGGAGGTCTAGCTTGATCTCGCCGTCTGCTGCCGTGTGCGTTGTGGTGGTGGGTCGCGCGTAGAGGAAGTCGACGTCGAAGGCGCGGCCGCCGAGCATGTTGTACAAGTGGCGGCCGGAGTGGGCGCCTTGGAACCCCCTGGGCGCGTATTCGAGCCGGTAGGTGCCGCTGGGCTTTCGGCCGCTGAAACCGACGGCGAAGTCTGACGTCGGCGACGATACGACGCCGGATACCATCTGTCCGCAGCGGTCGACCCGCAGCGTAAAGCTCCGGGGGAGAACCTCTGTCGCGCCGATGGAATCGTGTGCGGCGAATTTGACGATGGCTTCTTGGCCGATGGGCCAGGTTATGTCTAGAGGAGTTTAGTAGGTAGTTGCAGAAGAAGGATTTGAAATTCAAGGGGAAGGGGACTTACACCATTGCCCGCAGTACGAAGCATAACCAGCCCGAAACCCAGAAGCGTCGCTGTACTGGAACACGGGACGGCCGTTGGTCACCACGAGCATGGTAATAAGCGTAGTTCGCGATATGACGATGCAAGCATGCGACTGGTGCCTCTTGAGAGACTTCCGCGCAACATTCGACCAACTAGCACTACGCACCGACGCACAAGTCACCTCTCTTCTCCCAACACCACTCTCCAACGACACACGCTGCTCCACCGCACCCCCCTTCTCAACCGCGCCCACATCCTCATAATACAGCGACGGCGCGTCGTGGTTAAACATAGCCAAGATAGTCGACCAGCCGGCCCTGCCGGGCGGCGCGACAGGAATGCGCGTGACGTACAAGACGTTGACGCCGCAGAAGCCGTCGGACATGCGGGCGGCGATGGCGGGGCCGAGGGGCGGCGGCTTGGTGATGCGCCACCACGGGAACCGCTGCTGCCGCTGGAACCATATCCCCAGGTACTCGGCGGTGCGGTTCGCGTGGAACGGGTCCAGCTGGTCGTTGATGGCGCTGGCTTGGGAGATGAGCCCGCCGAGCCCGACTGTCGTTACGGCGAACGAGAGCCATGCTGCGGCGAGGTTGGCCGTGTCCATGTTTTTTGGGAAGAAGGACTGGCGAGGTGGTGTTAGTTGCGTGTGTGTGTGTGTGTGTGTGTGTATTTAACTGCCGTATTTATATGTTTGTCTGTCTGTCTAACTATTGACTATAGTAAAACAAGTCGTCGCATGACAGGTAGGTAGACTAGATGAACGAAAAGATAGGTAGAGAGAGAGATGACTACATAGATATAACCAAAAAATTGTATAAAGTGGACTGACCAATCTCAACTGCTCCAATATACGCCGTACAAGTCCTATCGGGACCTTGAGTATAGAGAGGGTCGTGCTATTAGACATGGTTCTTCCAGCCTATACCCTCTGAGGTATGCTATGCTTTTCAGCTCGTCAGCTACCATACATAGAGACGCACGGTGTGACTATTCGCGGCTATGCGATCTAGCCCAGGCCAACCACGAGCGAGCGCGCTTACGGGCAGGGCCCTCTTCTAGGTTAGATACTAACCCACCTAGCCTTTCGTCCGGACTTAGGAGGAATTGTTCGGAGAGATTGGTAATGCTATAGTGTGTGTTGAAAAGAATAGGGTGTAATCGTCGTATGTCGCGAAACATGCAGCGATTCAGGAGAGTTAGGGAACAGGGGGTAATAGCCTTTACGAAAGCGGAATGGTAGCATCCAAAGAGGGGATGATCCGCTTATAGGGCTCATCGAAAGCTACGTGGACCTCTACTGTTGTTATACCACCTACTCTTGATATATGACCGATTTTAGTATAGTAGGCCTCATGATTGACAACTAGAATCGGTGGCCTAGCTTGAAGCCCTAGACAAGCACCGCTCATAGTAAATAGAAGGAAGAACATACATCATATTACGTATAGAGCTCCTTAAGTTACTTGAGTCTGATGTAACCTTATCTACCTAAATAATAAGGACCCGTTTGTTTCATCAAATTAAGTAGTTATTGTCTTCTCAAGTATCTTCATAAGCCATTACAAGTACAGATGCGGACCCCTTCTGTCTGGGTATCTGGTATGGATAGTAGTAAGAGTAAACTAAGTAGTTGCCGCCCTCCGTCTAATTCCCATACTCGTTTTGATGAAAGTGAAAATAAATAAAAATATAGGGCTCTCATACGGTCCTCTCTTCATATAAAAGAAAGGAGCGATGAAGGAGCCTCTAGACCGGAGGTCCCGTTTGGGGGGTATGCTTTTGTATGTCCATCCTATGCAAAGTGTATTTTGTAACCGGCCCCATGGTTACCGCAATGCCCTTCTGTGTTGAAACGAGAACCGTTCTTTCTGAACTGTAGAAAACAAATGTGCTGGGTTATACCAGGGGGAACAAATGAACAAGATCGTGAGATCCACGACCTGAACTCTTTCCCCCTCCCGCATGTCACCGTACGAAGAAAAGATCCAACGCCTGGAGCTCCGGTAATGCTTATGCCATACCCGCTCGGTATACAGAATCAATCATTAGAAGTCACAAATAAAAGTGTTCGTGGGCTGGAGAGGCCCATGTCGTCGAGTATTATTGTATTGCAACCACAGTCTCATTGGGTCGTAGAGACGGGTCATTCGCCGAATTCGGTTTGACGACTGTCTTGCCGGAGATCGCCACATTTCTAGTTCTCTGACTAAGAGGCAACGTGTACTTCAGAACTCCTTTGACAATTAGAGTGAACTCGTCTGCAATAATACGCTCCCATCGCTCAGAGCCACTAGCAGTACCGTTACCAGGTCGACTGAGGCGTAAGGAGCCCGTAGAAGTAGAAATGCCAGATTGGAAAAATGACCCTTCGTAAGTTAACGGACTGTCGAACACAACGATGTTCCCGAGACGCATGTTTGGTGAAGTATCTTCAGAAGGCGGTTCCTCGTCCTCGTCGTCATCGCCGTCGTCATCATCAGGTAAAGGTAATCTGATGATTGGCGGGTCATCCTTAGGGTCGTCTAGAGCACCAAGCTCGTCTCGGCCAGGATGGCGCCACCATTCCGAGTCGGTACCAGCATGCGGAGACTTTGCGAATATTTCAAGGTCAGACGTATCGATCATTACAACGACGACGTTCGGGTTGTGTGCTCCAACGGTAATGTCCATCATCAGCTCTTGTTCGCTAGCCAAGACGTTCCCAATCTTGACAAGTGCGATGTCGGTGAGCGGCTGAGATGTCGCAAACATGAATCCTAGCGCCCCGGAGAGAACGACCAATAGCATTATGGTAAGGACGAGACAACTCGCAAAACGGTTAATAAATGAAGGGTTGCGCTGGTATGTTTGTGCTTCGATATTTCTCCAGTGTGGGTTGCGCCGACTTCGATTAGATCTGATTGATCTGGCCGTGCCACTTGGGAGAAGGGGAGTCCTTTCATCATCGGCACCGGTGGTTGTGTCGTCGATATCGTAGCCACCTGTGAGCGCCAATTGTCGTTTACTAGTAGCTGCCCAGCCTCGACCCGTACCGAATCTAGGGCTCGGGGGATTCGAACCCTGTCTAGAATTGTTCCCGCCGAACTTCGACTTGGCTGCGTTAGGAAAGGGAGATTCATTATCGAATAACGAAAGGTGACTGCTGTTATTCCGACCCCAACGATTAGGATGGTGATGATGGCGGCCTGTTCCTCGCGCGGAGCCAATGTTACTCCGGTTCGAGCCACGACCATCGTCGTCTCCGAGAGGACCGTCGGTTCCGCTGCTTGTGTAAGTATTAACAAACTTCATATTCTTTTTGACCGGCATAGTAGGTGCGCCGGTCTCTGTCATGCCCGTTATTGAGCGTGACCCGTTTCGATTGACTTGGCTAGCAATGGAGGTTGCACTGGGTGTACGTGAGTGGTAACGGCGAGGGCGCTCGCCTACATCCGGCGGGTTCGAATCGTATACGAAAGTTTCGTCCGAGTCTGAAGAATTAGCTTCCTCCACCGCACTGGCAACTTTAGCCTCGAAAATATCTGCTTTTGAGGATGCTGGACGGTGTCCTCTGGTTAGCAAATTGGTCACTTGTGAGGTAAAACTTGAACTGTTGACCGAAATCTGTGTTATGATGGATTCATCTCCATACGATCCTTGACCGTATATGGTTGAATGATGCGATGAAGAGATGGACTGTATCGAGCAACTATGCCGAAGCTTAAGTGTTGGAGCGGTGGGCGGCTCACCATTGCCAGAAGCAACAGATGCGGGCTTTCTTGTGTGCTTCTTCTTTTCCTTCTTCGGTTTTATAGTTTCCGAACTGAGTTTCGTTCTCAGACTTCCGTTTGCTCCCTGGTTTCTCGTGTTCGTGGCTATTGAAAGCCCGGGAAGGTTGTTGATTTGTTCCGTCTCGACCGTCATATTTCTCGACGAGCTCTCGCCAGAGGCTGGTCCTTTGGCGCCATACTTGAGGGCCGTGCTCGACTGTCTGCTGTGGAGTGAGGGCGCGCTCTGCGCAGGACCAGCGGGACCAGCGGGACTTGTCCTTCTCGAACTCTTACCATTCCCGCCATCGCTGCCACTCTCGCTATTCGTCACGTTCGGACTAGAAACTGTCTTCTTGATGGTGCTCCTGGAACTTTTAGAGTGCGCCGGTGACTGCGCAGCAGCTGTCTCGGCAAGCTTCTCGTTGGCAGCATCTAGTCCTGGTCGCGGGGTATTGGGTTGGCTGACCTCCTGGACCGTCTCCAAGGTAGACGATCCGTTACTCGCTCCACGAACTGGGGTCCTCATACCAGGCGATAGTTGCAACTCTTCCGCCTCGTTGTCGGAGGTAGACTGCGAAGCGGATTCCACGTGAGGCGAAGGCGTTGCTTGCTGGACATTTATAACGGGTGGTTCTTGCTCGGCTTTTCGTAACGACGAACCGGCTACGGCTGGCCGGCCGATGTTAGGCGGCGGTGATTTCAACCGAGGTGACACGGGCCACCGGGGTGAATCTTTGAATAGCTCGGACGCAACGGAAGCTTTCGGCGGGACGGTAGTTTGCAGCCCGGGCTCCGGATTTGACGGAGGAGGTAGCGAGGGCGTTGTAGCGGAAGAAAGTTGTCGGGGAGTCGAAGGTGCAGGATTGGTAGTTCTAGATCTAGACGGACTGGGGTCTTGGATACTGCTCTTGCGTGACCTAGCCGGGACTATAGATGTACGGCTTGCTCTTCCTGTCTTAGCGGAGGGGCGTGTTGGTGATGTATCTCTAGATTGTGCCGGCGACGCGGTAACTGAAGTGGGAGCTGATGTCCACTTTGAGGCTTGTGAGTCGAAATGGGCGCTGGAAGTAGCAGAAGTGTCGTTGTCGATAGAGTTTAGGCTGGACAGACTGGCGTCCATAGCAACAGGGTTATTTGCCATGTTGCTTGGCTATTTGGATTAAGTCGGCGCAAACAATGGAACCACGTCTACCAGGAATAGGATTAGCTGGGAAGGATGGCTGGTGTACGTCGATAGAGGTTGATCATCGTGATGTGGCAGCAGGTTCGCATGCGACTAGCTTTGACACTGGACGAATCGAGCAAATGTCGTACAACCAAACGAGTCCTATAATGCGGTACGGCCCCTACCACCTGTCTCCCCCACTGTCCTCTCTCTCTCTCTCCTATCACGTAGCCTTTGTCTATTGTATGTATTTCGTATGATAAATGCCCCAGTCAGGAACTTGCAGCAGTGATTGACGAATGGGGCCTAGGGATGTGTTGTTTGTGCCGGTGTGGTCAGTGGTCAGGATACAAAAAGACTGCAAACGCGGGATTGGACGCGGGAAGCAAAATGTCTGAATGACACAATAATGTGGAGAGTTGCGGATGGTTTAAGGTGTACTGCAGAAATGGGGGGGCGGCACGTATCGAGTAAAGTGATAACAGGCCGACAATTAGCGGTATGATAGTAGATAGAGGAAGGACCAGCCGAAAGACGGGTTTTGGGGAGATAGACTATGGACGAAGTACGGAGAATGAGGCGTGAACGAGGAAGAGGTTGATTTGTTGGAGGGAAAACACGGGGAGTTGAATTGTAAGTCCTTTTTCGATTATCAGATTTGAGGGTAGTAATGATGTATTGTACACATGCATCAGCTACCTAGGTAAGTACCCAGGTATCTTTACGGAGGGTATGTACGGAGTACAAACATGCATAGGAATGGATACCTGCATGTACCTATGTACATGTACGCACATGTAACCCAACCAAGGC